TTGAAAAGATTCTACATGTAATTACCTTCTATTTAACAATATACTTTTTATAATCTTTCCCATCATACAAATGACTTTTCAGATCGAATCTTTAGAGAAATATGCTCCAAAAAATGTGGCTTTAAATACTAATTGCTTCCTAACACATGCTATTTAAGTGAGAGTGAGAGTGAGGGCTACTGACAAATGACAAGTAATTAAAAAGTTATTATTATCACATTAGAAGTTATTACAGCATTAGTGTAATTAGTGGAGACTGTAATCATCTTGTGGGTTAAAAGTGGAACACCACTTTACAGCTTTATGCAGGAAGAGTTATTCCAAAAGCCACATGTCTGACCATGGGAAATAATTGGACTCATCCTTGTTCACTTTTTAAAAATATAATTATGTACAACCCACCGTCTTATGCTGCAGCTCCTCAGCGAGCTGCATGTTGGTCTGATCTCGCTCCTCCACCTCCTGGCTCTTCTGGTCGTAGTTGACGGCCAGCTCCTCCAAGGCCTGCAGCACCTCCTTCACCTCCTCCTTCGCCAGCTCGTTCTCCGTCTGCAGCCGGCACAGCTCCTCCTGGATCTTCTCGTAGTCTCGCCGTGTCGATGCAAGCAGCTGGGGGGGGGGTAGGGTGTCGGTAAATACAAGAAAAAAAAAGGTGCGCACACCGACACGCAGATAGACAGATTTAACCAACCTCTTCCTGATCCAGCATCTGTTCCTTGAGTTTCTCAGCCAGCTGACTGTGTTGGTTGATCTCATCATCCTGTAGAAATACATTTTGCAAGCGTAAATTCACTAAACACACCAACAAAAACCATCAACTTTATCCACACAGAGTGAAAGTGCATGAATCGAAAACACGGAGGAAGGTGTGGAGGAGCGACACCAGCCTCTTCCTCCGCCTCACCTTGTCGTCCAGCTGCTTGTACAGGTTGCTGATGTCCTCCTCGTACTTGCCGAGCTCCTGGCCAGAGACCGCCACGCCTCCTCCCGCCGGCAGCAGGTTGTCAATGACGGGGGTGTTGTCGCACTCAATGCTCTTCTGATCTTTGGAGCTCAGCTGCTCCTCCTCTGGGACGTTCTCCCCTGTAATGTGCACTCATCTGTTAGATCATTTACTAATAAACATGCTGATCCACCAGCTTGAACCAAAACAAACATGTTATATAAGCCTGATTTTATAGGATGTTCTTCCAGCAGATATGCTCATGACATCCAAAAATTGTAGAGGCATGAAACTTTAAAAAAAAAAAGTGGGGAAACATAAAGAGGGAATTCTGTGTTTTAACAAATATAAATGTTTTAGTCTCTTTCAGCTGCTTTCATCAGGCTAAGCCGGAGCGTGCTTTAAAGAGCTCCTCCTCCCACATCCCTTCTGAAGTAAGATGAGAGGCTGGTCTGGGTTTCAATGTTACTTAAACTTTCACGCTCACTTCACAAAGTCACAGACGAGTGTAGAGGTGAGGGAGGAGCGAGGTGAGGCTGTAGCTCTTAAATATTTCATATCAACAACAGTAGGGAGTCTGAAAATATTTACTGTTATACCCCCAGTGTGCAGCACTACTTTCTAGTAACCCTCAGTTGCCTGTAGGTGACGCTATTGGATACATCAAACGTCAATAACAGCACATTTTATGGATTAGTCTGAAAAATAATTAATCCAAAAATATAAAAATTACAAAATATCATGCAGTGCAGTGTATCAAATATAGTGCACACAGATGTATTTAGAGTAAAATCATTATTTTGTGATGACGTGATTGAAACCAGAGCTAAAAGTGTGTCCACAGCCTGACAAATAACTGCTGTCTCAATAATTATTGACTTTTTAATTTAATTGAATTCTTCAATACTGACGAGAGACGACAGAGGAGAGGACACGGAGCCGGCAGCTGAGTCACGTCACAAGCACCACATCAGCATAGTGTGTGTGCGTGTGTGAGTCAGAGGCTGCCGCTGAGCTGATTTGTTGCTAAGGTGGGGGAGTGTTATCAGCCTCTGCTTGGGAATTGAAAAAAAAAAACAATGACCAGAGAGAGAAAGAGGGAGAGGAAGGGGGGGTGGAGGCAGGCTTCAGTGGTTACCATGCAACAGGGATGGAGAAAAGGCGGAGGGATGCTGTGAAGCAGACATTGCTGATTGTGTTTCTATACAATCTGAACATATAGACGTTAGGCGTATATAAAGCGTTTGTGTGTGATGCGAAGGTAAAATTAGGAATTTGTTCGCTCTCTGTCTCGATCTCATTCATCACCCCCGAAACCAAGAGAATTTACAACCTCTGTAAGACAATTATTGAATTTCGTTTTTTCTCACCATTCCTCCAGCGGTTGAGTTCAGCCTCCAGCTTCTGGATGACGCTCTTCAAGCCCTTGTTCTTCTCCTTCTCCTTCTCGTATTTCTTCTTCCACTCCTCGGCCGTCAGCTCCAGGTTCACGGACACCGTGTTCTTGATGGTCTTGGCTCTAAACAGTCACAGACGGAGCCGAGTGAGGTCGGCTTGGACACTGACAGATTGTTTTTAAGCTCTTGTCTGCACCATCTCTACCTTTATCATTAGTACATGGAGTTAAGTGACTTTATATTACCTGCTCACATTTGAATGGAGCTGAAAAATCCCAAATATATAATATATATCATATAAATATATATATTAGTATGGGCTGTTTGACTTGAGGTTAACTTTAAGTTAAGACCAACATACTACAATGAATTTAAGTCTTATTCTCAAGAGCACATTGTGTGACGAGATATTCTTTTCATTCCAGATCTTCCCCCTCTGATGAGGAAAATCTCATTTTAGCCTGAAACCCTTCATTTCCTCAGCAGATGGCTGCACAGCGCTCGCCCATCAGCCACGTCCCATCACTGCTGCTGACGGTTTATTACATAAGCACTTTGAACTGTCGCGAATGAGTGAAAGCAGTTTAGATTTAACGCTGAGTTTCATTCGGCAACTTTATCTTGTATCCAGAGGAAAAAATACTTATATATTACTTTTACAAAACTACATCCTCGTAAAAATATATATGAAACATAGTGAATAGACCAACAGGTGGATAAGAGATGAAGGAGAATACAGAGCAAGAATTATATAATTTTGCCAAAGACCACAGAGACCAACAAGAAAACAAGGTGTGGTGGGTTTCACCATAGCGATCTATAAATAGGAACGAGCCCGGATGCAGTGTGGAGCTCAGAGCCATCTGGCTGCTAGTTTTCAGCACTGACGTCAACCACTGTCCTAATTTGTCTCACTTTTAATTTGCTTCTGTTACAATAACAAAAACTATTCAATGTCAATGTTGACGTTGAATTCAGATTTTTTTTTTAAATCTGAATATGTGCATGCATATATTTGTGTTGCATTGTGTATTTAGTGCTTAAGTTCTGAAAAGTGGAAGTTAAAACAAATAATACAAATAATTCTCCAACTTCATTTGCCTACTTCCTCCAACGTGTCCCCCATTGATGAGGTCAGTACTGAGGAGCTGAAAGATCAGTGTTACCTCTGTCCGAACATGAGCGTGGACTTGGTCTCGGCTTCGTTGTAGATGGACGGCGAGCAACAGATGATGATGGTGGTGCGACAGTTTCCTCCCAGCGAGTCCTGCAGGATGCGGGTCATCTTGCTGTCCCTGTACGGCACATGGGTTTTCTGGAAACAAAATGAAAAGCGTGTCACGACGAGGCAACGCCACACAGACGCTCGTGGAAGTGAAAGACAGAATTACGATCGACTTAACTGTTCCCTCAGCCAGAGCTGAGATGACGTTCCCCAGCGCCGACAGAGATTTGTTGATGTTCTTGGCCTCATCCAGCACCGCTCCCTCAGCTCCAGTCTTACTCACCTGTTGGAACAGTCGACTCGCAGCGTTTACAACTTGTTAATTCATAGAACATCCCCTTAAAACACATTCATTCCATTTTTTTAATCTGGTTTGACCTTCTCGCTGCCGGCCAGGTCGACCAGGTAGAGCTTCCCCGACAGCTTCTTCTCCGTCTCGATGTTTTCCTGCTTGATGTTGATGAGGAAGATGCTGTGGCTGCGAGAGCTGTGCTCGTTCATGTCTGCAAAACAACAGTTTTTAAACTAGCTGCTCTGTGAGGCTGTAAACGAAAATGGCAGGATCTGGAAACCAAACGACACAACAACATACAAAAGGACCAAGAGAGCAACATCGCCATTTACCAAGCTGTGATGTCAATGTAGAAGAAAATAGAGACAAAGACATTCAAGTAAAATACAGGAGCAGGGAAACGTACTGGTTACCGCCACGTGCCGATTGGCTTTGCCCTCATCAATAACATCCATCACCTCCTCTGGACTGGACACAAAGCGTTCAGTACAACCCTGAGAGAGAAAGAGGGGGGAAAAATGATTTCTCACTCTTAATTGAGTTTTTTATGTTATATGGAATATTATGTTACAAATATCACAGTTTTTAATGATACTCGAATCTTTAATCGAATCCTTTATGTCAGAGAACCGTCCTGTTCACCAACCTTGACATAGGGCACTCTGTTTTTGTCTTCGTGCACGGAGAGGTTGGTCTTCGACACTTAAAATGAAGCAGAAATCCCACGCTTCTTGTTACAAAATGAATTTTAACAGGCAGAATACAAACTCAATAACAACACAACACAATAAATGCATGTCGAATGTTGCACGCTCACCATCCAGCAGGTCTCTGATCTTGTCCAAGTAGATTTCAAAATAAGAGACCTGCACAGAGAAACCGATCAGTGTCTAACTTCTACTGTTCTAATTCCTACTTCAGCAGGATTTTTAAACATGATCAAGGCCCACATCATTATTCTACATCAGCTATCTGAATGTTGGCACTAAGCCTGGTTATTATATGGAGGTATTTAAGCTTCAAAAGTAAAATGAAGTGTTTTGTTCTAAATCTGATAAAATAGGCATTAAATTTAATTGTTAAATAAAATAAATGGCCAAAGAAACTGATCAACAGCCAATCAAATTAAAAAACACAACCTTTTAATTCTTTTTAAAACGTGTCCCTGCCGAGTAGACCTTTAAATTTGTATGTGAATTATAACATAACACTTGATACTGTCGCTGTAAAATCTCAGAGAGTTACAGTTTGTTTTTTCTTTTCTTTACCTTGATGTGAAACTCGAGGTTCTCGTCCATGGAGTAGATGTGGTCAAAGATGTCATGGGCGATGCGAGGGATGATTCCCATCAGCTGGGGGTCATGCAGTTTGCCCTGAACACAGCAGCAAAGATATTAAATGTTTAGAATAAACCAACCCAAGTTTGAAGCCACTTGGAAGGTGAACATCAGTTAATGTGGAGAGAGCGAGGCTCCGTCATCGGAGAATTAAAAAGAGGCTTTTGTGGATTAGAGTACAAACTGAAGTCATTTGCTGGTGTCGGTTTATTCTTTTTCTACTTCAAATCTGTAAATTTCCCTCAAACAACAACGAAGCTGGACATCAGGGTCAGTCGCCGCTATCAGGCTTTTCATTCCTCGAACCTCAACATCTGTCAGAGCTTGAGTGGATTTGGCGTTTGCAGTAAGTCTGTTACACAAGGACTGCCGTGCTCTAATCCTCCGAGTGGGGATGGGAGCTCGTAATAAAAGGCAGTGGCCATCTTCACACAGTGACTCAGACTCTGATCGATTGGGAAATTGATTGTAAGATCCAGATATTTCTGACGCTGTGTTTTTTTGTCCTGTACTGAGGCAGTCAGGGGTTTTGCACTGGACTGAGCGAGTCTCTCACCTCCATGGTGTGTGTTTTCCCAGACGACGTCTGCCCGTAGGCGAAGATGGTCCCGTTGTATCCGCCCAGCACATCTGGAATCATATTGAAGTAAATTATAAATATGAAAAATGGAAATTCCCATAGTTTAATACAATAACACAGTACTGTGGGTTTCTGTGGTAGTAAAACTGAATATTCAATTCATATACTACTACTAGAAGTACCTTTGTATTTCCTTTAGTATTACAAACTTACTATTAACATTAACTTTCCCTATTTTCTTACTTTATAACTTGTGTTTAACTACTAGCTCCAATTTCTCTTACTGATAAATCACCACTGCTGATATTTCTTAATTAACAAGGATAAAATAAAAGATGGAGGACAGATTAAGTCTGTGTGCAAATAGATTAACGTTACATAAGAGTTTCATCCATTTCCCTGCAGCATGTCGTACCTTTCACGATCTGTTTGGCACACTGGTCGTACACTTGCCCCTGCGACGTGTTTGGAGGTAGCACACGATCGAACACGTACGGTTTAGCCTGTTTTCAAAGCAGCACAGGAAACATTAGAACAACAGGAATATGACAACTTCCTGTTACCTGTTTTATCATCATACAAATAAGCGATTGAGATAGTTTGAGATATTTGAACTTAAATATAAAAAAGATTAGGACATTGGAATTTAAAAACTAAATATGACTTGCTGAAATGCATCATGTGAGGTCTTGTTGGTTATTTCTGGACATTTAAATATCTGATATTGAAATATAAATTGATTTGAAATCACTATTTTACTGCATAAAAAGGCAAAAACAAAGGTGGCAGCATGTAGATGAGTCACAAAGGAATTGTTTCTTTCCCGCTGAGGTTTCAAATGAGGAATTCTGAGCTGGAAATGCTCCAGTAACTTTCAGGATCTTTCAGTCAGACCATCCATCACCCCTCCTGCCGTTGGGGGGGTAAAAGCCTGGTCACTGTGAAAAGCAGATGTCAGCACTTGGAAGCAGCAACAGCAGCACTCTGACTCCAAAAGTGAAGCAGGGAAACCATCGCCACAGTGTTTCTGCAGCTCGACTGACGGCACAAGGTGGTGATGTGCACTTGCTCCTGGTGATGACGGGGGAGTGCAGGGGCTGCTAATTGGTGAGGGGGGGGAAATGAAATACAAATAAACACAAACTCAGAAATGCTCTGATGGAAAAGAAGACAAACACAAGGCCTAATGCACATATATCATGTAGCACCTGTGTGGTTTCTTTCCTTAGTTCCTGAGTCAGCACTTTTTCAAAAATGGTGACTCAGCCGGAACACAACCTTTGACCCCACCTCCGAACGATTACACCCTGTAACTGTTTTTGATGGAGGAATAGAAAGTATGTCCCTCTGCAGGCGGGGGAAATCTCTCTAGATCATTTTAAATATGAGATATTATGAGACGCTGTTTTCTCTTCTCCTCTTTCATACTGTAGGTTTGTGAGATTGTCAGATTTTGATTTAGGGATAACATTTAAAGTTAAGTAAACCTCCTGTGACATGACTGCATCTTCATTTCAGTGTATAGTAGAAGTCTTTTCTAGAAATTCCTGTTTCAAACATATCTGAATTAGATTTAGATGATACGTAAACACATCGTGGTCGTATCACTTTGGTTTCAACACTTTCACGTCATTAAAATATGTGAAATGAAGATTTTCTTCTCTTGCATAGATATGTTGATGAAATCTTGAATTACAATTAATAAGCCGTCTGTCATCCATCAGTACCTGGTTGCAATGGGACATGAAGCTGTTTTAAGAAGGAGAAGCCTATAGGGGCAGCTAAAACTTTTAGATGACAATATTCTGCATAATATCCCTGCATCAAACACTACATCCCTGCGGTATTATATGAAATCATTTGTACAATATCATAAGAATCCTCTGAAACCTATAGTATTCGATGCTTATTGCGCACTTGGCATCTCCAGCCTGTCTGCAGGGCTCCAGGAGACTTTCCTCTGAGACACTGCAGTGTTTGTGTTGTGCACCTCTCTCACACTCTCCATCACAACAACAGGGAGCAGACGGACTCACCGTTATCACCACGGTGTCCTCCTCTTTGAATTTGGGGATGTATTTGTCTCCTCTGTTGATTTCGGCCTCGTTCAGGGGCCTGAAGCGACACATCACCCTCACCCCGCACTCTGATGCGTCCATCATGGCTGCTGCGGCTGCAGACACTTTATCCTAATGACGTGAGGAGCAAACGAGAGGCTAGAGAAGAGGCGAGGATCGGTGTACGCCGGGGCAGGGTGGTAGTCAAAGGGAGGTTCGGGGACCTCCAGTGGGGCCTCGGTGATGGCCCCTGCGTCCTGGTCCGGCGGAGAGCTCAGATTTCACTGCAACAGAGACTCAGAGCATCATTTGCAAACCGAGCGGAGGTCAAACGCGGGGTTCACTGTTTCCCTAAGTTGAGAAACCTCCACTGCGCAACGCGTCCTTCATCCAAGCCGGACACCTCGGCTGCGCCATGGCCGAACCGGATCCACCGCAGCGCTGCGTCCCCACGTCGGTGCACAGGCCTCAGTGCGCAGGGGTGCCACCGACACACGGTGCAGGCAGCGGGCTGGTGTGTGTCTGTTGGCGGAGGGGGTGAACTCGGGGGTCGGTGCCGGGTCTGTAGGGGGAGAGACCGGAGAGCACGCGCACAGACAACCGCATCGTCCGGACTGGCAACAGAGGCGCGCTCCCGGGATGATGCCGCGGCGCGCTGCCGTGACTTGCATCAGCAGCACCGTCACTGAGGTGCTCGTGTGCACGCGCTTAGTTTAGTTTCATTAAGCAGATGAAAAATAATGAATTATTACCTCTTAAAAACTACATTTGTATGAATTATTTTCATGAATCACTCTCTGCACTGTAGCTGAGGTACTTACACTTTGAGTAAAACTCATTAAGTGCAGATTGATCCTTGCTATAAATCTTTAAACCATGTAATGTGATATTATGACTCAATATTTTCCTCTTTCAACACTTTGACAATAAAATCTAAATGATTTCCATTGATTCAACAGTGAGTTTATAACCAAGCTAATTTATGGTCCTACATCTCATTCACCAGAGAACACCAGTTTCATTCTAACCTACATTTACACATGATTCCGTTCATACAACTGTATATTCAAATGTATTTATATTCAACTGTGTCATCAAGTATCAGTGGATTGATAACAAAAAGCCACCTCAGTTAGCATTAGCATATTTTGCAGAGAGTGTTAACTTGCAACTGAATCTCACCATGACGTCCAATTCTGGAGCTTTTGATCGCGTTGCATGATCTTCATCCTTACACAGATGAAGACAGGCAAAAAAGTCCTTAAAGTGCATAGGTAAAAAAAATTACAAACTATAAAAATATTCAAGCATATGTATTTTTATGATGACAAGTGTGCTACATTGATTTAATCCTTTTCATTCAAAATGATATGATTGTAAATTATACTATACCTTATAATCATATGTAAAGGAAATTAAATCATCATTCAGCGTTCCACATTAAATGTGTGCTCTCCTATTTGCCCACTAGAGGGCAGTGTTCAACAAGAAATACTGCCTTTAAATGATTCACTGACTCATTGAGCTTGATTCTTGATTCATCACATTTTAAACTGGATAACACTTAGAATTAAAATAATCTGGAGACACTCCGGGAAACAGGAGATGTAAAAACACATGACACCAGATTATTCAAGTAGGAGTGACCATGTTTTTAATATCTTAAACATCTGTGCAACATTGTTCAAAATGTTACATCACTGCATGACCTGTAATGTTTCACAATATTTACAAAAAAATGCTGCTTACATCAAACCATTAAAAAAAAGTCCAAACAATCTCAAAATAATGGACTGACAAACTATCCCTAGCCCACATTAATGCAAAAAGAAACAAAGAAACAAGAGCAATCAAGTGCACATCATACTTCACGCAGGTCTATTTTTTGTAAAGTATATATTAGTGAGAAAATATATACTTAATTACAAGTTGAAAAAATAAAATACTGACAAGGAAAAGGGTGGAAGAGGGAACTGGGATTCAAAAAGCAGAAAACAAACAAAAAAAAACCACTCGCACCTCACACCTAAAAAAATAGACGGCACACACCAAACACAAAAATGCTTTGAACTCTTGACCACAAATAACATGAAACTGATATAACAGATCCATAACACATGGGTTCCCAGCACGAGGCCGGGTTCCTGCATGTCATTGCACAAAAAGAAAAGGGAGGCAGGGGAGAGGCAGAATGAACTTTACCGAAAGAGCTCACGTGTTTCTCGACAACGAACGTCACCTTTCAACAGTAAAAACTCAAATATCCATGTTGAGCGAAACTGATATTTTTGAGGTTATTAGACTTTGCCGCTACTAATTCAAAACAGAAACTCTTCTCTTGCAAAGTGTCCGAGCACAAAGTCATCCGTCTTCAAATAAGTGAGAGATGTCATCTGGAAATACAATACAGTACAAATTACTTTTAGGTTGTTAAAAGTGAAAACCCATAAGCAAAGTAAGATCTGTTGAAATTGTAAGATTCAAAGTTGTGCATATTTTTTGTAATAGTAGCGTTCTCATGTTTTAGTTGGTGAGAAGCAGAAGAATCGTGAGTACCATTTGGTTTGAAGGTGATCGAACATGAGACTGTTGAAGTAAATGTAGTTAATTTCAACTGAAAAGTTCAAGTATATTAGTGGGACCTTTATCTTGGAGGGTTAGTGTGAGTGTCTGATATTTCGATAATGCTGGATTACCTCTGGACACTTTAAAATAAAACATGACGCTGTTGGAGCTAATGTGTAAAGCTACAAATAAATTACTACCCCACATCCCCCCCCTCCCAAAAAAAAGGCAGATTACACGTCAGAGGAAAAATTACAGCCCAAGTTGTTGAAGGTGTGTACAAAAGAAAATCAGAGATGCAGCGTTTCTGGAACGGTTGATCTTTGCCCTCGATTGGAATATTGCACTTGGTAATTCTGTAGTGATTTCAGGTTAGTAGTTGATCTTGATCTGCTGGAGCACCGGCATATGTGTGAGTCTGTGTGTATCCTGTGCGTCGCTGTCGATTTACGATTCGGCGTGAAACTTTTCTGATAAGTTTGTTAGTGTTCACAACTGCATTTACTACCAGCAAAAACTTATATTCATAAATATTATGGTCTTTTCTGGAGCGGAGAATTCCATGAAACAATCTGTAACAAAAACTGGTAAAGCCTCGCTGTAAAAACAAAGTGTTAACTGTAATGCTCACTTCTTAAATAAAAGGGAACACAACCATCTTTGTAATGAACTATGAATACATGATATTTTCACAAAAAACATACATATACACATATAAGGCTTGAGTTCTCAACTCTTGGTAGTATTATTGCCATCTAGCATATTTGTAAAGCTTAAAATAAATATGAAGTACTGTACATAAATAATTTACAACAATACGCAAAAGAAAAAAAAGAATGAAAAATACACACAAGGCCCCTAAATGTGAGAAATGCTTCCACTGCTCTTGAGTTAGTGTTTGTTTCCATGATCTACACTCTGAGGTTGGTTACTCTACCTAAAGCTATAGTCGTGGCGAATATGATTAGAATCATGGGAGGAAAAAAAAAAAAAAAAGTCACTGTACAATTGAGCATGAGAACGTAATCACAACAGCCAAGTGACACAAAAGAAGGAACGAATGAGTGCAGCCTGTGATGCTGGGTTGTCAGAGAAGGAAAAATCCACCGTTAGAAATGATTTTATGTTGCATTTCAGGATTTAAATCATCTCACAGAAAGGTGTCCAAAATGAAAATGAGAAATTTTATAGTTTCTCCAGCTGCAAGGGACTTTGTGACCTTAAATATCCACTTGTGCATCAAGTCTATAAAAGAGGACATTTGTACTGGCGTTCAAATGTAATGAAAGGAAAAATGCATAATGCATATATCTACACATTGATGAACCTTGTTTCAGTAGCCACAGTACTATTAAGTACTATTAACTGCAGTATATTTACGTTCTCTATGAGTAGAGTCACTCATATATGTTCTTGGCAGACACAAGTTTACCTGGCTATACTTTGATGAATTCAAAACCAAACAATATTCAATGGATACAATACTGCAAATCCTCCAATGTGTCAATCAGGAATTAGAGTATGATTATATCCATTATCAAAATAGTGGAAGATTACTGATTTTCAGCTGAACTGTTTCAGCTCCACCACTAGGAATTGTTCAAAAATAATTCTGGAAAATCTAGGAAATAATTAAGTCCTGGTTTCAAACTCCTGAAACTCAAACAACACAACATGACACTGAATATAGTAATAATTGTGTGAGGGTGGATTTTTCCTTCTCAAAACGACAGGTAACCAATTTTGTTTAAGTAAAACTGGAACAATTCACCTGCTAACCAGACTTTTTGGAAAAAACATTAAACCAAGTCGTCAAATATCATGAATTTCCTGTTAACGAGCAGATGAAGATTTACCAACTTTGATCCGACAGGGGGTCTTTTCCTAACGCTGAACACTTTCTGCTGGTAAAGTTCATTCTGTGTTTTTAATCTTATCAGTACAAATGAGCACAACTGGAGTGAAGTGTAATAATGGAGAACTCATAAACTCGTGCCTGTTCCACTGCTGTTCCCTTATTAAGAAAAAGGAGGAAATTAAATAAAAATAAAAAAACAGCACGTCTTACAGTTCCTCATATAAAAGCTTTAGGCTGTATTCTTAATTATCCTATGCATGCGGCCATATGCAACCGCATTTCTGAATAGAAACCAAGACATTGGTACACTTCTTCTGCTTTGTTTTTGTACAATAAAAGATAAAATGTGCATTAGGTACGCTTGTACATGACATTGTACAATATTTACATACATTTCTTAATAGCATGAAATTTCAGGATTATCTATATACATATTGAAAATGTATCAGAAATATTTGGACTGTCTATTTTTCTTAAATATGTAAGGTAATACTTGTAGCTTTTTTTGTTTATTTTACTATATTATACTAGAAAAAAATAGTTAATTCAGTGAGCAGTAGACAAATTGCAACCGTTTTTGACGCTTTTCTCTATTTTTTTCCTCTTTTTTTGCTTTCTACCGGTTTCGGTGATTGGAATTTCCAGCACCTTCTATGGTCAGTCAATAAGTCAAGTTGATATCATGGAACAACGATGTACCAGTGAAAGTCCATGTGTAGCACCTGTTAGAGAGCTCAGATCGCATCAAGGCTGAACGGACAAGTCTGCGAAGGCTTTGAGGACGTTCTCAGGCCGACACATTCAATGTTATCTGGATATCTTCCTCCTCTTGGGCTTCGGGAGCTTCACCTGACGATCCCTCGATGGGATCTGAAGACAGGGAGAAACATTATGGCGGAGGCTGGACATGTAGGTGGAGTGAAAACAATCCTTCATGGAGAGAAACATGTTCAATCCCTCTTGAGGATCAAGGAAAGTTGTAAACACTCACCGTGCCTGACATCTTATCCAGCTCACTCATGGCTTCGTGGATAGCAGCTTCCAAGTGATTATTCAGTTTCCCCGGTCTGTTGGAAACATTTACAATTTACATTATTAACATTTGGCCTGAGGCAGGCCAGAGAGACTGCAGGCGCTTTGACTGCTGCAGTCTTTAACTTTTATCATTAACCAACAGGTTTCTGACTGTAAAGCTCCTACAGTCTGAACACCCACTTACTTTTGTTTTGTCTGTAATGGGAATGCATTTAAAAATCAAGAGGAAATATTTCATTTGATAAATGTCTACACTATATTGTGGGAATTACAGTTCAGAAAAAGCCCTGTTTGATACCTGAACATTCAGCGTTAAAGCTGATGCTGGATAATCGCGTTACAGATCCTAGGACAATATTATTTCAGGACCACTTAAGTTGTTTTTTCATCATATTCTGGCCAGGTTCACTTACTTCAGGCCTCTTTTGGCGGCTCGGTCAAGGGCCTCCAAGTCGTGAGTTAGTGTTTTTAGCTTCTCTGGCTCTACCTGTATGGACACCAGAAAAAAAACAAACTTAGAGTACATTCAAGGTTGTTGAACAGGAGACAGAGAATTACCCACCAAACAAAACAACGCAGAATTTGGACTTCAGTATTTCAGTTTGTCATGTGCACTAGTTTATTTGGCCGTCAGAACTTTTCTTTTCTGAAATTTTGATTTGGCCAGTTAAATGGTGAGTTTGGAGCATTTTGAAATCCATCTGCTGCTATGGCCAGTGAACAGAATTTCTTCTTTCCTTCTAACTTTTCAAACTTGCAATAAATTTCCATCTGAGGAAAACTTGGTTACAGTCAAAAACAACTTATTCTCTCATTTTGACTTTGTGGCAAACAAGCATCACACATGGAAAAACAATTTGCAGTAATCCAAGAATCTACAAAACTTGTAATGTTTCAATACAGGGAACATTGCTGGCTGGGGAGTTGCTGTCACAGAAATCTGTCGTCAATCTGCAGACTTATTCAGAAAGAAATTTCAAGTTGGCTAGTAAAATGCTGACAGGTGGTCCCAGACTGATTTCTCACCTTTGCCTGCTCCCGCAGCTGCATAGCAGCGCTGTGCACTTGTTCGTCCCCAGCCAGCTTGGCAGGCCAGGGTGGGAACCCCTTCAGCTGGCCCCAGACCAGCTCCCCCATGTTGAAGGTCCTGGATCGGTAGTGAAGCAGCTCTGAGGAGGGAGAGTCTGGCTGCCGCAGGTCTTCCTCGCTGCTCAGGCTCTTTGTGTCCGAGGGGCTGGGCGCCATACCGTTGAAGTGGCCGTTGTAGTGGCTGTAGTCTTTGGCTGTTGCCAGGGGTCCTTCCAGGCTCGTGGAAGAGCTGGGTGACTGGTCGTCCCCTGTCAGCTCCTGCCGTGGGGGACCTAGGACTTCACCATAACCACGGGTGTTGAAATGGGGAGTGGCACCGTTGATATGGGTGCAGCGTTCCACTGTCTGCTCGAGACGCTCCTTGTAGTTTGCAGGAGTCCGGCTGCAGTTATTAAAGCGATATCCATCATCGAGAAAGGCCTTTTCGTGGGCCATGGCCAGGCCATGATCGTTGGAGCCCTCAGTGGGGCAGGGCGGGGCAGGAGCCAAACTGGCGGGTCGCTCCATGCAGGGACTACTCCTAACTTGGGTCGAACACTCTAGAAATTCCTCGCCGCCCCAGGTGCTGCTGTTGCTGTGTGCGTCAAAACCTCCCCCGTGCTGCGTCTCCCCGTCCCACTGCCCCCTGGGAGTACCACGGCCAGGAGAACGGAAGTAGTCATTGGCCTCAGGAGTGCCGTCTGGAGTGCTCTTCCCAGCATCCATGTTCTTCTGACCCCGTCCTAGCCTCACCTGCCTTGGCCTGGTGTGCTGGGGTAATGCCTCCCCCTCCTGGTGCCCATGCAGGACTGCACTAACTGCTTGGGGGAGGTTGACAGGCTCCCCTATAGAAGCAGTGAAGGCACTCATGGCGCTGAGGGCAGGCACCGGACTCGCCTGTGTGGTCCCGCTCACTGTGGTTGTTATCGTTACATGCATACCCTTGCTGGCAGCGTCTACCACAGCTCTGTAGATGGCGTCCACCGACTCTGGGCCACCACCTGGCCCCCTGTCAGAGCTAGGTGTACCTGGAAGCCCCTCTCCCTGGGGCTGTTGCCCCTCCCCAAACTGTGGGTGCTGCAACATCCCCTGCTGTGGACACAATAGCAAGGTTACACATGATGAAAATTGTTTTTAAGAATTTGAAATGCTATCTGAAATGCTACAGGCATCTCATCCCACCTGGTAGTTCTGGTAGAGGCAGGCCATGGAGCCAGCATTGACGATGTTGCCGTCTGTGTAGGGTGTGTTGTCAGAAAAGTGCTGCTGGCCCTGGTAGGCCGGGTGGGAGGCAACCCCCTGCTGCATGCCCTGGTGGACCTGCTGCTGGTACATCTGACCTCTGTTCACATGGGGTGGCAGGCCTCCCACACCACAGCCAAGGGATGATGGGTTTCCTGCAAAACCATCGGAACATACAAGTCAAGTGGATGTCAATGCAGCATTTTTTCTTCTAACAATAAAATAGTAAAGTTACAATCAGAGAGCAAAGGAATATTTGAACGTGGAAATACAATTAATTAAAGCTGTCAGCGATCCATGTGCCTGAGAATACAAACATAGCAGGAAACAGACCTATCGTTAGGTTTGCTCTTAACAGCTTTCTCCAGAAAAGGAAACTATTAAATGGAAACATCACCCATAGTTTAAATTTGCTAAGTCACAAAGTCTCCTGAAAGATTCAATTTTTTATTAAAAACCCCACAATTTATTTTTGTCAATAAACCACTTCAATGATTTCAGTACATCAATGAAATAGGACCGCAATGAAACCATCCATTTCACTGGAATCCATGGTTTCTCAAGAGTTGAGAATTTCTGTGTGGTGGTCGAACTAATTAAAAAAATGTATTATATACTTATTTTACCAACTTGATTTCATAACACATCTGTGTACATAAGAGCAGATTGTGCATCATCATCTGCATTTCCACTGTGATCAGTACAGTTATACAGAAATACCAGAAAAATATTGTTTTCACACAGGTTTTTAAAAGGCTTGTGCCATTGCACTTTCTTTTAGTAGTCAATGATATACCCCTGTTCTGTCTGCTGAGCAGTTTGGTGAAATTTATACCTTTCCAGATTTACTGCACTTACAAAAAGAACAGCAAAGCCGGGTGAGTTCCTCTCAACAGAGACATTCACAACAAAAAAAAAAGTTGCACATTAACAATCTGTTGCAGCCCAAACTAGCAGACACACACAGCTGCTAGATGTAGAGTACAGACCTGTTGGCAGAGCACACGAGGACAGAACATGAAGGAAACACATCAAGGCCACAAATGTATCAATGAATGAGAAAGCCCAGCAGCAATGTTATGGAGACAAAGCCGACGCAGATACAAAATCTCAGAGGCCTAATGCTCTGTGTGTGTGTGTGTGTGTGTGTGTGTGTGTGTGTGTGTGTGTGTGTGTGTGTGTGTGTGTAAGGGAGCAGTGACTGGAGCAGCTGGTGCGATGCTACGTAGCTGAAGGGCAGCTGTGTGTGTTCTCCATTTTTTTCTCCTCTTGTCTTTCTTCCCCTCTCTCCCTCTCCTCTCCAACGCTGAGAGCTATGACTCGGCCAGCCCCCTCCCCCTTCCTCCCTACATCCACTGCTACTGCTATGATATAGTGACGGCTGTTGCCAAGGGAGGTTGCCATGGGAACCAAGTGATGATTGGTGGTTCTGTCCGCTGCCAGGAAGCGTCTAGGGGGAGTTGGGTGGGTGGGACGAGGGGGGTTACGAGGGTCGGGTGGTGTGATTTTTGCCTGCTGGGGGATGGGGGGCAGTCAGCTGGGTGGCAGGGCGTCTGGGAGGGGGGTTACAATGAACTTTGGAGTATTTGTTGATGGCAAGAGTGGAGGGGGGGTGTTCAAAGCTTGCTAGCTGTCTAGAAACAGATGGTTTGAAGCTAATGCTAAGAAGCCACTGACAAGGCCACTTTCAAAGAGCTTTCAGTGCTCTTAAGATCCCTGACATGTCATTCAAATTAGTTTCAAGAACGGGACAACGCATAGAGTTACTCTGCAGCATAACATCTGCCATTTGGTGACAAAATAGTCTTTTATCCCGAGAGCCTCTAAGTGCTTAATGCTTATGGGATTGTGTCGTCATTCTGGTCAGCTGAATTGGGTTCATTTGCAGTACTGGTCATACTGGAAGATCCTAAATGGTCTCTGGGAAAATTTAAAACCCTGACAGGTTTTGGACGACGAGATGCACTACAGAGAAATGTTTTGCTGAGAGAGCCCCCTGATCATCCATATGATACATCATGACACAAAGACATACATGAATTACCACATTTAAACCATCAGTACTAATGTTAATTTACCAGAAATGGTGGGAAAGCAAAATAAAACTAGGAGAATGCAGGTTTAAGGAAATTATTTAAATTATTTTAAATTCAAATAATACTATTAATTTTGGTGAAAAATCCTGAAGGCAAACATAAAAACACAATTCCTTGCAACCAAGCACAGGACCGTTAACATCCAAAGAAGTATTCAGCTATATTCTATATAAAAAGCAGGCAGGTGGTCAGTTTTCAATCTTGTGAGGAGGCTTATGTACCAGATATGGGGGATCTCACTTGATAAGTGACGCAAACAATTAACTGATTATCAACATAATACACATGGTTGTTAATTCCCCAAACAAGCTAAGGGTGCAAGTTGAGATGGTAGACGGCTCCAATAGGATTAAATGCCAGATATTTGTAGAAAAACACAGAGGAAGAGATTAGCAGCAAAAATAAAACAGACATAACAAGCAACAGGAGGATGCAACAGGTTGTCTCACTCCCTCCTGGTGTTGTGCCTGTATGTTGGCTCAGCTATAGTGAGAAATTATAACATTGCCATGGCTTTATTTGGGTCAGTGACATAACACTAATTTTCCCCCATATGGTTTCCTTAAAATGAATGATTGCATTTTAAAAATAAACTCACAAATGACTCGCATTTTCATATATTCTTTTCTCGAGAACCTAATCTAAAGTGAGAGAATATGTGGGGTTTGAAGGCATACATGGTGTTGATTAAAGATATAATAGGAATTCATTTACAAAATGGAACAGATTTTTTTGTTTTAAATTATTAATCCACAACTTTTTATTCATGTGCTGTAACTTTAGGACAAAATCATTATGTTACACAACCTTGGTGTCTTTGAAATGTTTAGTTTTGATGAATATTTATATCGAATTAACTTATCTGACATTTATAATGAATTTACTATTATATTAGTAAATTTATATAAACTTAAGTTGGAAAAATAATCTTCAATATTTCTTAATTTTTTGTGATTACTTCAAATGGCATGAAACCAACATAAATACACTATATACATTTTAACAAACCTGATGCATGCTATTCAAACAGGTTTTTATAATATGTTAGAATTTCTCATGATGCCAACCCTTATTTCTCACTGTCTAATTTATATACAGTCTTGAGTTGAAGCTTTAAACTCAATAAATCCCAAATCTTTGATTTTAGACCATGTTTGCTTCCTCAGAAACAAGGATATGGAATATATATAAACCATCATTACAAACTAAAAAACCTGCTATTGAAACTGATCGAGTATATCAAATATATGAATGTAAAAACAACATTTTTAATGACTTTTTTCCCCTCCTGACCCACACTGGACCACCTGAATTTCAATGACTGGACTTCGGAGAAATACAGAAGGCAGTAGGTGATAAAAACAGGTGGCCTGCAGCAGACCTTGGTGATATCTCCATTATAAACCATATGAGGACACACAGATGCATGATGAATACATAAACCCATCATCCGGTCCCACAGCAGGCAGGGGAGGTGGGGGGAAAAAATAAGATCTAGGTCTTTTCAGTGCTCTCAAAACAAACGCAAACATGGATGCACGCACACACACAAAGTCATTCATATGCACACAAATGAAGAGAACGGCACAGACACTGTAGTGCACAAGTAGTCGCAGACATGTACACACAGTCATTCAAACACACACACAAACAGGCCAAAACCCTCATCAAAGACTTCACTCCGGTCTCTATTCAGGGTCCATCGTTACTATAGCGACCAGCAAGCAGGGAGAAGCTCTTAAGAACACCCTATCTGGGGTGCTTCCCTTAAAGCATGATGCAGATCCCATTTCCATCTTCTTACACCATTGACTCATGCCGGTATACAAATAAAACAAAGAGAAACACTGGTTGACTGACAATTAGCTGAGCTTCCAAAGATGAAGGGCCTGCTCATTAGCTCAAAGATGCTGGAGCTACAGCTACACTGTCTAGGCTCAGGGCCTATCACCTTAATCCTTTGGTTCTGGTTCACTCATTACCGTAGAAACCACATTTTCACCGGACCAGTAGCTTAAAGGTATAGTTCACAGAAAAATAAAAATGCACTCATCATCTGATCACCACTATGCTGATGGAGGGGTGGGTGATGTGTTTGAGTCCAGGGGTAAACTTTCAGGGGTAAACTTTGTTGCAGTTGAATCTGATATAATTAGGTAAATGGTGACAGACACCTCAGACGTAATAAAACAACAGAACAAACATAACATGCCTCCATACTGCTCATGTGGTGTCATCCAAGTGTCCACAAGCCTCGACATTCATATTTGATTTGAAACGACTCAAGGGGTGGACTCAAACATTTCACCCATCCCTCCAACAACATAGTGGTGAGTAAATGAGTGCATTTTTATTTTTCAGTGAATTGTACTTTTAACACTGGGATGGGGAAATGCACAGTCAATGTACAAATCTGACTCTGAGACTGGCACGGGAATACATTTTGTTGCCATTTTAAAATTATATTAGTGATAGCATTTAAGCCCTATCAGCAGACCGGATGTACTGTAGTGCTGACATCTCACCTGATTCAGAAATACTCTGTGTACAGCCTCCATCAACCCCTCCATGTGGCATCACCACCATGTTAGTCCGCCCCATACTGTGAAGAAGGTTCTGCTGTGAAGGATGAGGGCTAGGATGGGATAGTGGTGGGGGATTGGTGTTGGGGCGTCCCAGCAGCATGCCATCAGGGCCCACTGGTCCACCACCTGGCCCCACTGGCCTACAGTTACTCATGGAGGACGCCTGCATTTGGGCTATCATGTCAGGGAACTGGCCTGGACGTGTGCCCAGATGGCCTCCAGAGGCATCCATGTTCTGGCAGTGCTGCATGGCATCTCCTGGACCCTGCAGTCTCTGCTGCGCATGGAGGTTCTGCTGAAGGCCACCAGGGACCATTCCCATGCTGTCGTTGTAGTGCAGCTGTGGAGCTCCTTGAGGACCCTGCCCTGGACCTGGGCTAAGACCTGGACGATGGCTGCTCCCAGTCAAGTTATGGGAGCTCTGGCAGCTCATGGACTGGAGAAGCTGGGCCATGGAAGTGTTTGGGGGAAGGTTTCCAAGTCGCCCCACTTTACGCAGCTGCTCAGTGGCACTGGGCCCTGGCATGTGGGGTCCACCCATGCCTGATTTGTTAAGCATGTTGTAGACCATGTTGTTACTGTTGTCATGGTTTGCAGCCGCACCGCCTGACGACTGCTTCCGTTTGCGCATAGGGTCCCTCTGCTGGGCCATGAGTTTGTCTCTGAGGGCTGCCCGACCACTCTGGCCCTCAGGGGTGTTGAGCAGCATGGTGGAGTTTGGCGGGAGCATGGGATTTAAAGTGCTGTGTCCCTCCATGCCTCGAGGGCTGCTTAAAGAGCCAGGGTGCCCACCACTACCTGCCCCCATGCCTGCGATACCAACTCCACCACCAGCCGTGCCAGCAGTGCTGTTGCCAGCAGCGCTGAGTTTGTTTTGATTTGCTAGCTGTGCTTTGGCTGCGGCTGACAAGAGACTGCTGGCAGGGAAGGAAGTGGCGTTTTGTTGGTTGAGGATCTGGTTGAGGGGCATCCCCAGCAGTCCTGGGTGGCCCTTCTGGGAAGCGCTAGGGGTTGCCAGAGAGGAGGAGGAGGAGGAAGAGGTGGGAGAATACATGGGGTTACCATGCTGCTGGGTGCCAATAGAGTTTACCATCCCAGGCAACAGCTGGGAGTCTTTGTACTGGTGGAGTGGGTCTGTTTTGTTGGTGGAGGGGCTGGAGGGCATGGCCGGTCTGGGAGATCCTATGGCGGACCTGGGAGAACGAGGAGGGACTTTCATGGTGCCACATGGGGTCTGGTGCCCAGAGGGCATTGCAAAGTTCCCATGATCAGAGGAGGTGGAGGATGAGCGTGACCGATGAGGGGAGGCCTCCATTCTCCCAATGGCCGGCCCAGCCATGTGGACAGGGGAAGTGACAGGTGAGGGGGACATGGAAGAAGCTGGACCACCCTGTTGAGTCCTCTGAACATGGCCACCATGCCCCACAGGCCCAGGCTTCACTGTGGGTAAAGGTAAGTTGCTTGGCAAGGGAACAATGACAGGAGGGGGTATGTTTACATTCATCATTGGTACCTGAGAGTGGATGTTAGGCTGGAAATTTGAGGGGTTTGGGGCATTGGTGGGGGGCTGGCTGACTGGTTTGCTGGGAATAGGGTCTAAGATGCCTAAGGGGTCTTTTTCGGAAGTCAACTGCCTTTTCTGAAGGGCACAGGATGGTGGTATGGAAGGGGTGGGCGGCACCGGATGCACAGGCTGCTGTGTTTTATGGTGAAAAGCCACACGGGGCATATCCATACCCGGGGGGAAGTTGCCCCGTGGCATGTTCATGACAGGGCTTTTGGCAGTGGCCGTTGGGGAGAGGGGCGTGCTAGTCCTTCCTGTCATGGCGCAGGATGGTTGGCTCGCAGGGGAGCCATGGAGCATCACACTGGGTGGGGAAAGAGGCATCCTAGTATTCCCATGGATGGAGGCTGAGCCAGGACTGCCAGCTCCTGGAAAACCACACGGATTGGTCCTTGGAAAGCCCTCAGGGCTGCCCAGAGTGTCTGCACTGGGAGACTGAGATCCGTCTCCATATAGCTTTGCACTTGAGAGAGGTGGGCTCAGCATGCCTACGTACCCAGCCCTGTATGGGGATTTGGGGCCTGGCTCCCCACTACCCAGCCTCTGTGGCCTGTGGTACACAGAGTAGAGCTCCGGCTGCTGGGCTCCACCCATCTCCTGGGGTGGATACAGCCTCTGCTGCTGTTGTCCTGCTGCCATCATCATCTTGAAAGGACTCTTGCAGTCAGGGCCAACCGCATTGGACAGGCCGTCGTGGGGTTTATTTCTTATTGCTCGTTGAGTCGTGGAATGCGCAGCAACCACATGTGATGTACCTACAGGCAAAAAAAAGCACATTTGAATTAAAGCAATACAAACACATTTGACAAATTATTTGGCAAGGTTAGGGCTAACCCGTTAACTTCAGTAGCGACAAGGGCTGGCACCAGCAACTTGACATACCTCAGCATGTTTTACTTTGTGTGTCTGAGGGCCACCAACAGACTGAAACATTGTTTTCTTAGGTCAGCTGAGTTGTAACATCTGTATTTACATGTACTCGTACCTCCCCCTGGACTGGTCAGTGTCAGAGGTGGATGTGTCTCCATACTCTTGTGCAGCGTGGCCACTGCCAGAAGCTTCCTCTTGTGAATGCAGAGTTTGGTGACATCTTCATCTGCTTTCACGTCCTCCGCTGTCCTCTGCTTGACAGCTGCCCCTGGGTCGAAGTTGAACACCTGAGGAACAAGAGTAATTTTTTCTTTTTCTTTTCTACAATAATGTCAATTTTACTGAATACTTTATTCAAGTAAAAGCTGATATATTCAATGATCATGAATTTAGCGAAAATAGTAAGTTTTTTATCAGTGGTTTGAGACTAATCTGAGGACCTTCAGGAATGCTGTGGATCCAGGATAGGGGTGGCATAGTTTATTTATTAAATTGATGCTTCAAGGTTCCCCAGTGCCAAGTTTTGAATATCAGGTATTGAATCATAAGATCAAATTTTATTTTTTTTAAATCACTATTCTGAGTCAACAAAGGAGCATTTGGAGGAATGGAATGAGGATAATGTTTGGGATTAACTGTGTTTATATTCGCTTTATTAAAATCATCAACAATAGAGCCGATTTCACAGCTGAGATGATATCAGCCTGATTATGGCCTGATCTGACAGACATCCAGGGTGTGTTGGAGACAAATTTAGTTTGGACACAGATAATCAGTAGGATTAATCCCTGTAATGCGATACAGTGGATGCTTTTGACATTTGTAGATCATGCGGAAGTGGTCGGTGTGAATTTATTTCACACATCCTGATTCCTGAGCATATGAAATGGGATTGTTTCAACAAATTCAAAAGCCTCATTTTAACTGTAGCCTTTCAGAAGTCATATGTACCTTAGTCAGCCATTTCCTACTCACAGACATGTTTACTTGCTCCTCATTCCTCCCTCTATCTCTTTCCCTCCTTACTATCTGTGTTCATGAATGCCAAACAAGTAATGTTTCCAATCTTGAGGCCAAGACACGTCGAGAGCCGATTGTTCTGAATCCAACTATTGCGTCGACTGAGGAGGCATTTAGATCACGTTCTTTCTCAGTGAATGTGAGCAGATTTGTCATCACATCTACTTTGGACACCAGTTTATTTATTTTAAAAGCAATTACCAAATACAACACATGGTGAAGTAGCTGGAAAAATAAAATAAATGTCATGATTAACAAGGCTTAAAACTGTACAAGGGTCAGGGAACATCAAGTAACTTGTATTCAATTTTTTCATGTTTTTGTACTTTTTGTAATAAAAACCGCAAAAACCTCTGCAAGCTATGTGCTTCACTGACCTTTACTTCGTGAAGAGATGATCATATTTTCCATTTTAATTTCATTTGCTGATTGTGACTTCCACCTTTATCTTATCAATTATGTTATATTCTGGAGATCCAAGTTGAGAGGAAGCTGTAAAATCAACCAACAAAAAAAATTACCTTGTGGAGGATGAGTGGGCACTCCAGGCCACATTTGCAGGTTCCATCTGTCAGCAGGTAGGTCTTCACCTGCTCCAAGCTGGACAGCACCGAGCCACTGGGACTGCGCACAAAAAAACACAACAGCATTAGGCAGAGGACAGACTTCAGATGGTGAAGGACCAGAGCACAAACACACCTTCCGTGATATCATATGTTGTAGCATTTATTTGCAATAGAAACCATTTAACATTGAATTGCTCAACTTACAAACATAAAAAAATATTTTTTAGTTCAGTTAGATGCTACTTGAGGCCACTTTTGAGACCATGAACACAACACAGTATAAAATTCACATGAAATCTTAATGTATTACAAATATTTTCAGTAGTGATGAAGAGGGTAAGGCTTGTGCCAGATTGGCAGTGACTGGAGCATGTCATTTGTATTTTAAGTAATGTTTTATCGAAACATCACAATATCACTCTAACCCTTGCATTCATGAATAATAGAATGTGGAGAAAATTATTCCTCAATTTTCTTAATCATTTTTATTTGGTTTTTTTAAGGCACGACACATAACAATCAATTATCAAAATAAACCAAACATCCTGATGGTGTCTTACAATAAAAACAGGAGAAATTACATGTTTTGTTGCCCCCAAAAAATCATGGAACATTTCAAACCTACCACAAATGAAAAAAGAACAGTCTGTACCATGGGTTGAAAAATTGACACAATAACCAGCGACTGAATCATCATTCACAGTTGCCGTGAAAATATCCCTGTCAGGATGTATAGTTGCACATCCCTGCAGAAAATGGACATTTGAAAATGTTGTGAATATGAGCAAATACAAAGTGTGCTGTGACAGTACCAGGCCACGGTCACAGAAGTAGACAGGATTCTTTCCAACGCCCAAAATAAACCTGACACCAGCTGAGTGCTTTAGTTCATTGTGGCTGGTAAATACACGTGCTGGTGTTCATGTGCCAGGAAGGACAACTTCAGGTCTACAAGGCACAGTGAACCGTCAAAGATCCAACTCAGTCAAAGCGCCCTGTTCCACCAGCTGAGTGAATTATGTGACAAAATGACTGGTTTATTAAGGGGGAGATAGGCTGGAGGAATTTGCCAAAGTTATTTTCCTATCTGTGAAAACATGAGCAGCACTTCACCTGTTACAAGACACTGTGGTATAATAACAGACCTAATTGTACACCTGAATAACAACAATTTAACCTGCAAAGATTATTGATCAATCTATAGTGACCTTCTGATCACGTTCTGATACAGTGTAAAATGCACAGTAAGCACGTTAACAACAAATATTAGGTTTCGTGCTTATTGAGTGTTTTGCAATTCACCTCCCACCCGATGGTTTTTTCTGTTGACACTTCTAGTCAGCTGTCAAACCCTCTAATGATTTGATTAAGTTTTCTTACCTTATGTATATGACCCCTCTGCCACGCTGTGCCTTGCGCTGCCAGCCAATGGGGACCTGGACAGGGGCGGCCTGCCTCTCATCTCCTGCCTCACAGTCCTTTCCGCCATTCATTGCTCCACTGGATTTACGCTTTACTCCGCAGAGGTATATATATCAGACATCAACCAGTGTCTTCGCAATGCTCTTCATGTTCGACTTCCAAAGCGGTGGTGGTGGGTGGGTTGAGGAGATGGGAAGAGCTGCAGGGTTATGCTTTAATGTGGGACTTTGCTCTCGGGTGGAGCTGATGGGGTGGTGGATGAGAGGGTGGTCGGGTAGGGTGAGGCGAGCTCACGGCAGACCCTACCCTTTGAGCTGCTTCATGGCTACAGAGCTGAATTGCCCATGGACTTCCATTACTGCATCTTGTCATTCAGAGCCATCCAGCTAAAAAGGTGAGGATCGGGAGTTGGAGCGCACTGTGCTTTACTATTTTTTTATCATTTGTCTTCTGCCGCCGAGAAATCCGTCCCTCAGTCGGACAAGTAAAATATGTTCAACATATCGGTTCCCAATCGCAGTTGGGCAGTGGTATTCCCATGGTTCCTGTGAGGGGAGAACAGAAAAGAAATTAATGGTTAATGCCATCAATTTTCTTTGCAAGAGTCTAAGTCAATAATTGAATCTGCTCTGAGAACATAAGACATAAATTGTACAAAAGCTCCTTCAATTTCTGACAAGGTTTTCATTAAAATCCAATTATTTACATTGTCCTTCTGAAAGGAAAAAAAAAGCAAATTATTGACGAAGAAGCAGTCCATACAACAATGACATTATTTATATAAAATCTTTCTTTTTTCAATACAACCACTTGTTATGAGCTGCTGATGTTTTTCACCAGTTTAAATTGTATGGTGGGGAAAAAGGATTAAATCACCATCGTGATGAGCACAGCGGCTACGGATAAATCCAAACGGCAGATTAATAGATCATGAAATAATGTGTGATTTTCCCCCCCAGATTTCGAATACATTCACTGGACAATAGAATAGAACTAGTGAGATGAAGTTAACTTTACTTTCACTGTCTTGTTTACATGTTTACGTCCATGGCTTCTGCCACAGCACAACTCCCATTGGGGGCAAAATGAGTGAAGGCAGGGTTAATGAATGTCAGTGCAGTAAAATGTGTGATTAAAAACCTACAACCCTTCAGCAATGAGGAAACTCCACGGTTTAGTGGTTAATAACTATTGTTCATATTAGTGTCAGTATCACTCCTATCTGGTTATTAGTCCCTAAATCACAATTGAAAAGTTATTCCTGTGATTTGAATAAACTAGATTCTCAAATATCACGTTATAGCTTATACTTTGTAACAGTCAAAGCTATTTATCAGTTGGCCGATATGAGTCTTTCACAGACATGACATGACAAATGTTGTTTTACAGAATGAACAATAAAGAAAAGATGGGGATATATGTTTCCATTTTGCTTTGTTTATGAGTAAATTTCTTTGTCATATGGGACTCAGCCACAAATCACATACAACAATTGCCCCAAATAGCAATTCTACAGATCTGCTAAGGAAGTCCCTTACTACATATCTCATGGAAGTGTGCAGGTCTGCAATAAAGCTTATATAACCCATTTAGGCATTAGGGCTGTGTCATGAAGACAGGTCTTGTCAAAATATGACTTTAAGGAATACAAATCTATTTTACAGCATTATTGGCTGTCTCTCGGACAGTGAAGTCCAAACACTAGTAAACCAGGCTGAATTCAGTCTGTGAGAGATGGAGCATCATGTAAAGCCTCCTCTCTGCTGCTGCTGACTCATAACTGCCCTGTGAGTGGCTGAGACCAACCCCAGCGACACCACCACAGAAGAAGGACAGGCGAGGAGGGCAAGGCCGTGGCACGGTAAGAATGAAGCAGCAGTTTAGTGTCTACTGTTTATCTGGAAATACGCAACAGCAACAGTGGCACCTCATCATCTCAGGAGAGGCATGCAGTGTCCTAACAGAGCACCCGCCTCATCGTTAAAATCTCATTTCCCACACTCCATGTTTGGAAAATGCAATGGTAACAGAAAACATAATTCTAATTGTTGTCTTCTCTTCGGAGGTAAAAACTAATTATTTTCCCCAACAAGTGCTTAGTGCAGCGTTGGTGTTTGTGGTGGGGAGAAATATTTCACCTCCATCTTTAAGGGTACTTTTCAGTACTTTGTCTTTTCTGTTTGAAAAATTACAGAGGAGCTTACCTCTGACAAACCCAACACTCCTCCATGTAAAAGCACAAATTAAAAACTCAAATCATCTTTCCCAGCACATTCTCTGACTCATAGCTCAACAAGTACCATGTGCAAATTACTGACAGTACTTTCTAATCTCTAACCTTTTACTGTGGACTGATGTTTCCTTTGTGAAAATTACACTTTTGGCCTTTTTTTCTTTATTGTTAACAGCATCAAGAAAAGACAAGACAGCAGCAGAGAGGTGGTCAAACTCAGGACATTGTGGATACGTAAGAACGTTCAGAAAAGTAATTCAATTATTTCTGCACCAAAAACATTATAACATGGATTTTTATTTTAGAGTGCTAGGTTTTTCTATGTTTTCAACATAAAGGTTTATCATTAAGGGCCAACAACAGAGCTTTACCAATGTACATGGGTTATGTCCACCACCGTCACAAATACAACTGCATGTTGGGGCTACAGCGGCAAAGGACATGCCACATGCAGGACACATGAACTGTGATTTGTATGCTTGGGATTAATCCCGACAATTGCGATGTGTTTTATGCGGTACGTTACGCTGATGTAAACATATTTGCAGGCCACAATTGTTCCATACTGATCACGTATGATAAATGTGTGTGCATGGGTGTTGCACAGGTGCCAACGATGCATGAACTCCAACAATTCAAAACTTTCTTCAAATGAAATCCATGTGTATTCTTTAAGGTTAATATCAATAAAACTGCATTTAACAATACAACAAATACACTGGCTGATATATCAATGACTTGTACACATTTCTGCCAGATTAATACATTTCAAAAACGAATTATATTTCAGCCTCATTGGCACAGAGGACATCAAATGCCATGCAAATTATTTTGTTTTGTGCTAGCCAGAAATATGGAACTTGATTAACCGACATCCTGTTCTTGTACAATGTGTGACGCCGAAATAAACAAATTACATGCAGAGCTCCACTGCAGATTATTCTGCTGTTACATAGAGCAATGCTTATGAGGCAAAGAGCAGGTTGAAAACAATCAACATTGTAATATTTATAGGAAGTTATGATACAATTATCCTTAAAGTGAAAGCAACAGATCATCTAAATTACTAACCAAGAAAGAAAAATGTCAGCTGTATCAATAAGAAAAAAACAAAACAAGATATGGCCAGGATTTGGAAATAAATCAGAAGTGCATCCTGAAATTAATCCCATCATAAAAAGCCACCCTGCTGCAATAATTCTGCCCTCCATCACAATCGATGTAAAGGAGAAATGACTTTAATAAATGACAAAGGAGAGAAATGTGGAGCCTGACAATGTCACTGATGTCTATGAATTTGAGACACGACAACCGAAACGGTGTGAGCTTCATGTTTTTGCGGGCCTGAGAAGGTAAATCTGATGTATTTGATAGGTGAAAGTTGAAAAATCAAGAAAAATCTAGATGATTTTGCACCTCCCTCATAAAGGAAAAACATGCAGCACTGCTAGAAACACATTTTGGAGGAAAATAAACAGTTTTTACACATGTGTTGGGGTAAAGCAACGCAGATTGGAAACAATCCAGCTGCAAACTTCATCCAAGCAGTGCGTGAGAGGCAAAAGACTTGCAGAAAAAAAGGAGATAATGCAGAAAAATACAAACACAGGCACTGGAGACTTACAGCAATGCAGTCTAAGAAAGAAAAACAAATGATGAAAAACCAAACAAAAAAGAAATCACATCAAAATGATGAGTGGAAGACACAGCCAAAGGTTCTTGAGTAACTGAGTTTGCGGTCCATTAAGGATGGCAGCTTATGTAAATGAAAGTGTTTCATCCAAAATCTATGTCCAAATTTTAAAAAATATGATCAGACTAAGTAGCTTGTGTGCATTTTCATTTCATGGTAAAGTAGTACTTTGTTCTCTTATGACCTAGTATTATTAAAGTGGTTCTCACTGTGATATTGTTTTGCATGTTTTACAGTGAAATAAAAGCATCATAGCAGCTCTTTCTTTTCAAAGTGATCATGGGAGCGGAAAGCCTGTTATTCACATTGTCTATTTAACCCAGAATTCACTTCACTGACCACAACAGGAATCAAGCTTTTATCAACTAGCTGATGCAGTGGCTGAAAAACTTTAACTACCGACTCGTGACGCAGATCAGAAACAGCGACCGCACAAGAGACACAACTGAAACTTAACACAATTTGGTTGTTGTGAGTTCTCCACCTAGCCCTGTGCCGATGGTGAGCCTTAATTCTTTACAGTCTGTCAAATGGAAAATGACGATTAAAAACAATAACGGTGAGAGGACAATATTTCTCAGGCCTGCAGAAATCAAGGGAGCGTAATCTCAGTCCACTATGACCTTAAAAGACAAGAAAAATGCGCTGACCCGGAAGGTGCCTCAGACTGGTCCAAGTCTTAACATGATTTAATGTCTGGTTAATTCATCGCACAGCCAACATTATGTTTATCCTTATAAAGCCTGAGTTTAGAGCCAGTTGAGAGAGGCAGGCAGGTCAGACCAAGAATCAGACATTATCTCAGATGCATTCAAAGGACTATTTATGGATTCGATTTGTATCTGCCATTAAACAGTAAAGTATAATAAATTAAATAATAATTTGTGTCAGCCCCACAGATAAATTAAAGATGTTGCCGTCACCTTGAATATGGACAGTGTTCAGGAGGTTTTCCATGTATGATGCACAAAGTGAGATGTTTACAGCCACAGCTGCCGCTGTGCAATACTGAGCATGGATCCTAGTGCATTTCTATGCATTTAAATCCGAGTTTAAAGCTGTTTACCTGTGATCAGATCTATGAAAATGCATGTAATGCTTTGTGAGGAGGGTCTGTCATATGCTGTCAAATAAAGCAGGGGTTAAGAGCAGGTAGCAATGCATGTACAGTCTGTGGAGCATGATTAAAAAAGGGAATACACGACAAAATTGCAGTAAAGTAAAACAGACCTGGTGTTCTCTCATTAAATCACAAGGTATCTACCACTGCTCTTTCTGCAACAAGCTACATTAAAGCCATTAATTCTCAACCTAGCATTCCCATCTTGTTGTAACCCTATGCTATAGCTTGGACTAGCTTAAAGGGTAAATGAGCCATAATGTCCTGCAGCAGCCTTCAAAGTTGACAGCTGTACAAGTTGGCGAGCAAGAAGCCAGGACATGATCCCCCCAACCGAAGCTGGAGAGCATGACAGCCAGCCTGTGCACACAACCAAAGCGACCATAGGTGTCTAAGCGTTGGATGATGGGCTAATTAGCTTGGTGACCATTAGCTGCCCATCAACTGTGCCAAGTATTGCTTTATTAAGGCTTTGGCAACAACCGTGTGGCGTTCGGGGTTGTTCGGTTGAACACCGGGCGAGACGTGCAGCTCAAGCCCCATCGCCTGTGGGCCTCCGTGTTGGAAATGGACCGTGTCAACAAGCGAGATGTGTCCTGTCTGACTGGGCTTTTTGATGCATTGGACACAGCCTCTGAAATAGCTGGGGGTTAGCATACCAAGCGTCAGCTGTCTAGCTCCCGTTAGCTAGATAGCTAGTTAGCCAGCTAGCTTGTTGTAACGAAAATGAATAGGAGGGCGAGCTCGGCTACGCTAGCGACATTTTAGCGTTCAATTGGCGAACAGCAGCGGAAGCCGCGCACGCCGAGGGGCCCGCGGTCCGCGTTCCGAGCTCAAATTGTCGAAGTGAAAAGCGGCTAGGCCCGCGCAGGGGTTCGGAGCCAAGGGGGCCAAGGCAAGGCCAGGGCCCAGGCTGAGTTAGCCTAGCATGCTAGCTAGCAGTAGCCGTGCAAACCCGTTGCATTCGCAGGGAGAGAGAGAGGGGGAGAGAGAGGGGGAGAGCGAAACAGAAGAAGAAGAAGAAGAAGAGAGAGGCGCTTTTCAGACACTAACGTTTCTGTCTGCGTCAAATCAACCCGGGGACTGCGCGTCCTTACCCGGGCGTCCCGGCGAGCGCGTCCCGCTGCTGGAACCGTGCGGCGAGCGAGCGACAGTGTTGTTTGTGAGCCCGGTGGAGAAAGAAGAAGAAGAAGCCTACCCCATTAGTCCTCCTGCCTCCGCTGGTTCTCCTACACTGGGAGATTGGGAATGATGGAGAGCCGCACTGCGCATGCGCCCGAGCAGGAGCAAGCCTGCAGATGGGAGCGAGGTGATGCACGTTCTTCATCCTCGGTGACACATGAACCCTGCGCGGCCACAGGCAGCGATCACAGGCCCCACAGGAACATCTACCTCCGGAAAAAGTACTGGCAGCTCAATGTACTTCATGTTTTTACAGTTGAAGTACTCGAAACAACAGTATAAACACGTGAAGCACTTTGGATCTTTGTTTATGTCCTGCAAAAACTCTTAAAGGTCCAGTGTGTGAGATCTAGGTGAAAGGGATCTATTGGCAGAAGTTGAATATAAAATAATCTCCTCATGATGTTTTCACTAATGTGTAATCATCAAAATTATTTTCTTCACCCTTTATATTGAGATATTTTATATTTACATCAAGTGGGTCCTCTCTACGGAGACCGCCATGTTTTTTACAGGAGCCCAGACTGGAAAAACTAAACACCTTTTGAGTTTTTATGTTTTTTGGAAGGGGAGGGTGAGGGTTCAGCTGCAACATGCAACTTCACCACTAGATAGCACTAAATTACTTTTTGTATTATTATTGTTATTACAGTCTATATATGTATACGTTTATTTCAATACCTCATACATATTGCACAAATACAGTAGATTAATCAATTCATAATTTCCACTCCAAACAAACGGACACATACCAGCAGTACAAGTTTTACAACAGAGGTTTCCTTTTCGTTTCAACCACACTTTAATATGAAATATGCATTATAGTTATACGTCACTGGAAAAGCACATTTTATCAGTGTGATATAATATCTTGTATTTTTCAGAAATAAATGCAGATGTTATCGTCACAGTGACGATCACCTCATATACAAGCAATTTTCAATTCTGTCTTTTTAAATATATTGTTTCATTATAAGTAGAATATAGCCACTGCATGTAAGAAAGGAACAGCAAGTTTTTAATACATAAGGGTATCATTTGAAAAATAAAAGAGACACATCCATCAGAGTGGTTCTTCAAAGAACAGCACATAAACCGTTATTTAACAGAAACTTAATTTTTACCTGACAACGTCACATTCTAATTGAATTCGCATACTCCGAGCTTTAAAGAAACATGCCCTAATTAATGTAATAAAACTGATTAATATAATAATCCCATGAACAGGAGATATTTTGCTAATAGCTTGGAGGTATTGTGTCACGTTTAATGAGGCATAATGTGTTACAGGATGATTAAACTATTAACAGCAAATTGTTGTAATGTTAATAATTAATTACTTTAACTGGAAGATTTGACAACTTTTATCACCGGCTGTAACACCTCAAGTCTTTTTACTGTTTTATCGGCCATCATGAAACAACCCTACATAATTAAAGTCAATAAACATTATCCAGAAAAAAATGTATTTCTTTTCTTTTACGGGAATATTATAATAATATTATTGGAGTTAAAGAAACAAACAAACCAGTAAAACCCAAATTACAACGTAGAAACCAAGAAGAATTGTCAGTAAGGGGCCCTGATTATTTCCAAGATAATTAGGTTTATTTATTAACTGTGTTTACATGTATGACAATCTGAAAATACAAAAACAGATGCCAATCAATATAATTTCCCTAAAATCTTGTAAATAAATAAATAAAACGCATGAATTCAGTGATGTGGAGTGAAATGAAGATGCAGCTCACTGTGCAAATGCTTGAATTTTTGTGTGAAGGTCAAACTTGAGGAGATGTTCAATTAATCCTTTGTATGGCTGCTGTAAAAAGGGCCGCTTCATGTATTTTTAAGGGCAAACATGGAGCCGAATATGTGAGCGGAGAGTCGTATTTCAGAATAATGTGACAGGCCGAGGAGGAGCGCAGACTGGGAGATTTGCGAGATATCTGGTGGTTTATTGTGCTTTTTTCATCAGTCAACCAGAAGCCATGGGAAGCGTTTAAGCATCTCCAGAGCTTCATCATCATTGTGGGAGAGTAAAAGATGTTGATCTGCAGGCCAGCCTTGAGCCATTCAGATGAAGCATGCCTCCTAATTTGATCAAAACCACGGTGGTGGTGGCAGTTATAGCCCATCGAATTTTTAATAAATCTAATTTATATTTACATATAATTACCACCATTAGAGCCATTTTTAATGCATGCATCACATCGCCACATTAAGTCACAATGACATAGATATTTTCTACTAATGTTCTTATGTACACTTATTGAGCCCTTATTGGATTATGTTTGTCAAAAGAAAGTAAAAGAGGTGGGAGATGGGATCTATTTCTTGAAATTTAAATAAAAGAAAATAATGTAGTTTGCATGTTGCATGATGAACATTCGAACAATAAACCTGGAGACAATTAAATTATTTAAACTATGTATTTGCTAATTAGTTGGAAAATACTATAGATGATTTTGAACTCTCTTGTTGGGACTATTTATATGACAATTCCAAATATGTTTTTAAATAGTGTTGAAACCCCCAGAACAAGATTAAAATTATAAAAGGCAAATACTATTTCTATCCTTGTCTGAACTATAAATGTAATTGTAGCTAAAATTATTTACATCCTGTATTTGCAACTTATTTCTAATCAAACAATTAGGCTTAGGTTACTTGTTATGTGGTGATTTCTCAATAAAGGACACAAGCAAATGTCATATTTAAAGATTTATTTTAAAGGCAAATAAAAAAATATAGCTTCTTCCTGTTTTATTCTTACTCCGCCCTTCAGCCAATCAGCGCCCGGAGATTATTCACCACAGGAAGTCGTCATCGCTGGCTGAGTAGAATTCCCGCGAAGACTCTGACTGTTCCGTACGTAAACTATTGTTTTCCTTAAGTTTGTGTCGTTGTTCTTCTTCGTGGACACGTTGTTAAACTAGCCAACATTAACGTAACAACAGAATCTGAGGGATATCTGCTAGTTTGCTTCTGTTTCCTGGCGACATCGTGAAACACACAAAACTCCATTCAGAAATTATAATAGATAAGTTCCTCCTTTCACTCTGTTAAAAACTGATCAGTGCTCAATTCAAAACGCGATTGCTTCTGATTTATAAGTCTGTGCTTTATAATTCGGCATGAATAGCATCTGCTTAGGCTGCAGGAATTGGACTTGATTGTAAATTCCAACTGCATTATGAGCGAACCTTCGTGTGCAGCATTAGCCAGTTATTCTAACGGGAATGGCATTAAAACAGATGTTTATTGTTGCATTACTCATGTGCCGAATTGAATGGGAGTTTGTTCTAATAAGTGACAGACATGACGATTTGTCACAGCATGATACTTATGTGCAAAAAAACGAGATTATCTATGGATTTGACGAATACTTAAAAGGGAGTTTGGTGGAAATGTGTCAACGTCCTACAGAAAGTCAGTTAGAGGAGTTGAGGCTGATGCAACCACTGGGGTAGAACATTTAAATGCCAAGAGCAGCCTCTCAAGGTTTTACATCAATCGGGTATTAAATGTATGATTATATCTTACTCGTGAGAGGCAGAAAATCAAACATGACCTAGAAAGTTATTTTGAAATACCTTTTACATAATGTATTATAAACCGATGAACAACTTTTGTCATACACAGCATCATGAGTAAGAGGAAGGTGCAAGATGCTCATCTTCCAGTGGGAGAATGCATCACACAGGTTGGTATCATCCAGTATTTATCCTCTTTTTAAATATATTCCCACACCCAAGTGTTACTACACAGTCAAAAAAGAATGATCTGCCACTGTAATGACTTAAGATCGCTTCATTTACAGGTTCAGAAGATTTTAAGGGAGAGGCTCTGCCATCAGCGGCTCCCTGATAAGCCAGAGGGAATAGAAGCTCAACACAGGTTGATTTATTTATGTCTGAAAACTATAATGTTGCTTAAAAGCTTCTAATTCCTTTAAATCCTCACAAGCAAGAAACTGCATTCTTGACTTTTTGGCATCTTTGCTAAAAATGATAATATGTTGATTATTAAATCAGTTGCAGATAAACATTTTGGTCATTCACAGGTTTTGAATGGTTTGGAAATTACAAACGTTAAGGAGAAAGGGATGTGGTGTCGTTAAGAGGTTGAGAAGTTTCATCACAGAATCAAACCTCTTGAAATCATAAATAGAAACTGTAGTAGAAGTGTCATCTATCTGAAAAAAGACAATGTGGAGCTCAGTGTGAGGCTCAGTGACCCAGTTCAGTCCTACCTGGCTGACAGCACTGTCCCAGTTTGCTAGTTGGAAAAGCTCCCAGCCGACTTCATCACAACAGGAGCATCCGAGGTGTTGCTCAGGGAGTGAAATCCACCTCCAACACTGAGGATTTAATAGTTAGTGCATTAAATAAAGCAGCCGGTTTAATTACTCCTTGAAAAAAAGAGAAACTAATTCATATATTGCTACTAGAGGAGCATTATGGGTATTGTAGTCAAAAAACATGCCCTTTCAGACACCTACTGGAGCTGCTGAAGCGCACGGCCATCCACGGGGAGAGTAACTCGGTGCTAATCGTCGGTCCCAGAGGAGCAGGAAAAACAATGGTGAGCCCCGGCAGACGGTTTGAAATGGGCTTCTGGGTAAAAATTGCTGGAGAAGATGATGAATTGTGTTGAAGTGTGCTCAAATCCCAAGAGAGCTGTTATGTGTGATGGCCTCCCTGTTTGTGTTTTGGTGTCTGCAGCTGCTCAGGTGTGTGTTGAGAGATCTGCTGGAGGACAAAGAAGCACAGAAGAGCCTGCTACAGGTTCATCTCAACGGTACAGGCTCTGCCTCCTCACCAGACCTCATTCTATTTATTCACAATTTGAGCAGTCTAAAATTTGGCCGTGCATACGATGTGATCTTTTTCCTGTTCTCTGTAGGTCTCCTGCAGACTGATGACAGAATAGCACTGAAAGAAATAACACGACAGCTCCACCTAGAAAACGTCGTGGGAGACAAAGTGTTTGTAAGTAAGACAGAAAAGGTTTTTTTTTCTCATTCATATTAACAATAAAAATGCTATAACAACATGTCATTGCTTCTTTTCAGGGGAGTTTTGCAGAAAATCTGGGTTTCCTGCTGGAGGCACTAAAGAAAGGTGCTGTTTTAATCTAAATTACAGACATTTAAAATATGTTTTATTGTTTGAGCACATGACACAAGGTTGATTTTTCTGGTCCCGTCCAGGTGATCGCAGCAGCAGCCGCCCCGTGCTCTTCATCCTGGATGAGTTCGACTTGTTCGCCCACCACAAGAACCAGACTCTCCTCTACAACCTGTTTGACGTTTCACAGTCCGCCCAGGCGCCCATCTCCGTGGTCGGCATCACCTGCAGACTGGTGGGCCTCAGAATATTCTCTCATTTCTCACAGACTAAATAAAGAAATATCTCCACGGTCCCTCGAGTAAATCCTGGATCGGTTGGTTTTACTTTCAGGATGTTCTGGAGCTGCTGGAGAAGCGGGTGAAGTCGCGGTTTTCCCACCGTCAGATCCACCTCCTGAGCAGCGCCACGTTCGCACGGTACGTGGAGTGGGTCCAGACGCAGCTCAGCGTGCCGGATGATTTCCCCGACACAAAGTTCGCTCAGGAGTGGAACGATGGTATCAAGGTAAAACAAGGAACTCACAGATGGAGGAAGGGTTTAGCTTTGAGTTTTAAAACATCACATCCTCCTCTTACCAATGAAGATAATTGTATCAAAGGTTTATATGCTGCGACCTGAAGCATCAGCTGCTCAACATGCTCCACGTTTTCGTTTCTGCAGATTTTGTGTGAGGACAAATCAGTCGAGGAGGTTTTACAGAGACACCACAACTCCAGCAGAGACTTCCGTTCAATGCACATGCTGCTGGTGAGAGTAACACACATGTTGTAAATAGAATCTGACATTTGCAAGCAGTTTAACACTTCCTGCTCTTTAACATATATTCACATGAAACATCCGTATTCCTTAATTTTTTTGTCCTGCAGATGTTGTGTCTGAGTCGTGTCTCTGTTGCCAAACCCGCCATCAAACCTTCCGACCTCCTGGAGGCCAGCAGGCTGTGTTTTGCTGACGCCAAGGCGAATATGCTCCATGGTGAAACTCTGAAATGAAAAGAGGAATGTCTTTAGAGTCAGTTTGCATCAGTTATTAATCATTTTCTTTCCCCTCTTTTGTAGGTCTGTCCATCTTGGAGCTGTGCCTGATCATCGCCATGAAGCACCTCAACGACGTCTACGAAGGAGAGCCGTTCAACCTGCAAATGATTCACAACGGTACAAGTGGATAGTTGTTGGTTTGTCACTAATAAAAAACCTAAAGATAAAATAAACAAGAGTGATTGAAAGCAACAGAAATGTGAGAAAGAAAAAACAATTAACTCAAAACTTGGGAAAATTTACTTTCTTCTTTTCGGACTTGCAAGTACAAGAAGAGCAGTTTTAGTGGGTATAATGAAGGAAACATATAAAGGAGGATGAAGGACGTAAAAACTACAAAATCAGCAAGAGGGAACAAAAGTGTATGATATGTTATTTCACCTGTCGCCTCCTTTCATTCAGAGTTTAAGAAGTTCCTGCAGAGGAAGTCAAACTCCATGTACAACTTTGAGCAGCCGGTCATCATGAAGGTCTGTATATCTAAAATCTTCTCTTCATTTAAGCAGATTTAAAAAGAAAAATAATAAATATTGATATTTTATATGAAATCATCCAACGTCCAAAGCAACTGCTCACTTATGCGTCTTTATCACCCTCAGGCCTTCGAGCATCTGCAGCAGCTGGAGTTGATCCGACCGGTCGACGGCTCCTCGGCTAAAACCCAGAGGGAATACCAGCTGATGAGACTCATGCTGGACCACAGTCAGATCATGGAGGCTCTGCAGAAGTACCCACAATGCCCCACCGACGTCAAGCAGTGGGCCATGTCGGCGTTCGGTTAGACGAAGTTAAGCCTCAGTGTTTGGAAAAGTTGATGCTAAAGAAAGAAGCTGTTGATGTTTCTGTGATTTTTCTTGGATTGGAGAAAAACGTGGCTGATGTCAGGTCTGGATGTGTAATCTACTCAACCATTATATTTAACGCCTGGATATGTTTATTGTATTAAATGATCAACTATCACCAAATAAAAAGTGTAAAGTCATTGATTCACAGGTGAGAAAGTAGGTCAAGTGCATCCATGAGCTGGAATGAAATTTGGAGGTTTTCTATTCATTTTTATGGGATGTTACTCGCTGCTTTCAACTGATTTTATTTTAGTAATAGAGTGTCATGTGTTTCATCAGCAATATAAGAATGTTGAAGTAAAGTAGATTCACTTTTTGTCCAAACTATTCGGATTAGAATCAGATTACTAGAAGTATTTTTGCGATATATATTGTATTCTTAGAATAAAGTTACCAACGAGACCATCATCGCCGTGACTTTCCAAATATCCATCAGTGTGTGAGCAATTTCAAACACATGTGAGTTTTCTGTTTTCATAAGAGCTTTGAAAAAATGTGGAATTGATCAAATAAATTCTCAGCATATATATACTATTTTAAAATGACTACACTCATGAGAACATGAGAAGAGTAAGACATGTTATTTGATTTTAGTCTTTTTGCTGGAGTTCTGCTCAATGCTGCCATCAAATGGTGGATGTCTGCACAGCCACTCTCCCGGTCAGGGAGGACAGACCCTGAGAAAATACAGAACATACTGTATATGCATTAAACATGTCTATTAATACCAGTCAGAGCACCAGGCCTGTTATAGAGTTAGAGTTCAACATGCTTTAGTTGCATAAAACAAAGCAGCTTTAAATTCAGTTTAAGTCTCAGTAATAATAATGTGTAAAAGTGTAAAAAAGGATACATTTAAATTAAATACAAGTTGAACTTCCACCATATTTAAATATAAAAACACCCTGTTGAGTAATTCAAACTCGTGAATTGTATTTCATGTAGTTATTCATTCTAACCCTAATGGTACGTTTTCAAATAACGTTCGTAGAGATTTTCTCGATGATGGATGGTGTAATAAATTAATATATAGTTATTGTATTTAGTTTAGTTTGATTAATGAATCAAAACGAATAGCTATTGAACCTAGAGTATCACTGCAGGTGAGGTTGACCTGTAGAAATATGACATCTGTCTACAGGTAAAAGTTTAAAATCGTATGTGAAATAATTTTTACTTCGGTGAATAAAATCTTCCCTAATTATTTTAAAATTACAAAATGAAATCCAAACTAAATTGTCAAATCAAAAGCGTCTCACTTTAAACCACAGTTGTCAAATAAACACAAGTGCCTTCCAGACAATGTGTTTAAGTCGGTGAAAAAAGGAAAAAACATCAACATTCACAATCTAAAAACACATTTATTTACATCACGTGGATTTCTTCAGCTGATAAAAACCATGGCCGGCGAACATGAGCCGGGAGTCACAGCGCTGATCAAGGATCAATTCTGTCTCCTCTGTGATAATGAGTCCAGGGGTTTCTGAATGTTTTCCTTCTATTATAATACTTGGCAAAGGGAATCTGCCTTCTCTCTGAACCTCCCTTGTCCCTTCACTGGGAGGCCAAAAGGTCAGAGGTCAGGGTGAGAAACCCTGGAGCTGGTAAAGACTCAACTCTTGCTCAAGAACACGCAGAGGGATTCTTTTTGTTGTCAATTTTCCAGTTTGAAATTCTATGCCTCGGTTTCTTATGTCCTATTTCACATTTTGATCAGTAACATAAAACGTAGAGTTTCAAGTTTGAGGAGTAAAGAAACAAGAGGTTTTCACAATTTAATAAAACAACCCAGTGAAGTTTCATGAACAAAATAAATGATCCGATTTATCACTTTTTCTTCCAGCTTTGAAAACCAGAAACCCTTTCAACGCCATTACCGTTAGAGGCTGCATTGGCAGATCCTGGAGCAGCGATGCAACTTCAACGCCTCGAGTAATGTGGGGTCAAAAATTCCTTAGTGTTTTTGTATTCTTTTTCTTTTGTAGAAATTTCAGGCCTGACAACCAGACCCATCTTGCTGCCAAGACAGTCTTGGTGGCCAGGTCACCGGAGTTCAATGTTTCCTCTAAAATTCTTACCAACAAGTGGGAAAAAAGCAGGAGATTGAGATGCTGGAATGAAATACCTGTAGTGGATGATTGTACTATCACATATGGAGTATTGCAACTGCTCTTCAAGAGCTTCTGGGGTTCTTCAAAATACAACCATTAGGGGACCGAATCGGTTCCTTTTCGGAACGCCTGAGGCTTATCATTCAAAACGTTTATTTTCTGCTGATGAATCCGTAAGTGCTTTCTTTCTGTCTTTCTTTCCATCACAAGTGAGCCTCTAGCTTTCAGCTTACACAAAGCTCAACTTAAAAGTTATTTTTCGCATAGTGACGGACATTTATCGCGCAGCCGGGCCAGACCCCACCCCCCGCTGCCGAGTCATAAACACAAGAAAAAAGTATACATGAATGTAGAGGAAACACTGAAGTTCAACACGCACTTATAAAGATTCAGCTCAAGAGTATATAGTTGATACAGGTATTTATGATCTCATGTCTGTACAGATCCTAGACTGCTTAAAATAGTGGGGGCAACAAGACACAAATGTTTCACTGGTAGTTTATATGCACAGCAATGTGAGGGGCTGGGCCGGAACAGGTCGAGATAGAAAAAGACGTAAAGCCTGCACGCAGAGAAATCCATTCATACACCGTTTAACAACAAAGTTTTGATATTGAGTGGAGACAGCAGGTTTGTGAGGATAGTGACGTCCTGAGGGGAACCGAGGAGATGAAGCTCATCTGTAACCGTATAAATGGCGTGTGAATGGATCTCGTGCGTCCGTTTTACTCCTTTTCTTCAGCGACGGGGCACAATCACACGAAACCAGCCAGACGCAAAGCCCTCTAAAAGTTACACAGGGCCGGGCTCAATCCATCAAAGTACACACAATACTGGAATCCAGGAGTCTGAAGAACATTCATTCTCGGTCGTTTTTGTCCATAGACTGAATAGAAAGATGCATGTTACACTTTATATCTTTTTCTTTTTAGAATTAATGAAGTTTTTCCTGAATTACAACCGAAAACCCCCCCAAACCCCCCCCCCTCCCGACAACAACAACAACAACGACAACCGTAAAACGTGCCAACTCTTGCAACATTATTCTGAGTTGCACCTGAGCTCTGATCCCCAAAACCTCAGGCCTGTAAATTAAAAAATAAATACAATATATCAATATGCAAGGTCACAGATTAAAAAAAAAAAAAGAGAAATTAAAATGCTACAAGTTATTTGTTTATGTGTGTTGTGTGTGTGTGTGTGCATTGAAAGTCACTCCTGCAGCTGATCCTACAGAAGTGTAGGGTAGTTTGCGGCACTGGTTGCATATAACTCGCTAAAACTTAGAAAAGCATAGTACTGAATCCCTGAATGGTATTTTGTCGGTTTGGGTCGGTTTCTCAGGCGCAGTTTAAACTCAAGCTGTCAAACTGAAATCAACATCTTCCACTGTCCCACAGTACCGGGGTGTGACCGCCAAACTACTGCTGGCACATTATTTGTTTGTTTGTGTTTTAGTTGTGGCTGATCACTATCAGCCACTTTGGCAGGTAACCAACCAAACATCTGGAGGCTTTTTAAAAGAAATATCCACGTGGTTGTTAAAATACTGGTGAGGACATAAACGTTGGGAGGAAAAACAGAGCAATACTCTTAATATTGCAATACTACTACGCTGCATTCCTTTTAAAGCAACATTATGCAACATTTTTAGCTTGAAATAATCTTTTACTCCCACTGCTCCCCTGGAAGTCTATTCTTGCTCCATCTAACTTTGGTGATTGGACACGATCTGAATTATTCTGCAGAACAGATTAAAAACACTTAAAAACCAGTGTTTATATCCAATGTTACATTCTTTCCCCCCTCTTAATATGGGCTATACAAATAAAATTTGATTGATTGGATATTCAACTTATCTCCTTCAGGAGCTAGGGGATCATGGGTAAGAGCTTTGTTTACATAAAAACCATGTGTGGCTGCAGAGGGCGCTGCCGCTCAGAAAAAGTTGAATAGTGTTGCTTTAAATGATCTTGCTCTTCTTAAGCCTTGTACAATAATGTCAAACTTTCACCGAAGATAATACGTAAAAGTAAAAATGAAGAAACTTCTTTTTAACCCTAATTTGCTTCGTCAGTCTCAAACTTATAAGAAACCGAAACTTTATCCCAATTCAGGAAATGTTTTATCTCTTTACAATGGAAGGAAACTAGTAATTGTTTCCTCTTTTTTTGCCATACTTTCTACTCTCAAAGAAATCCCTGTGAGTGAGGTAGTACTTTTTGAAGGGCTGCTGGGGTTCGCCATACTGATCGTCCATAACTCTTCAAGCCTCACGCGGACCTAAGACGGCTGTTCCCGAATCGCAGTGAGTTGAAAAACAGCAAATGGAAGCAATATCGATGCAAATACTGTACCCGTGCTACAATAAGTAAATATGAAGGTGATGGCTTTGACTTCCTTCAGGTTTGCTGTGTTGGTGAAATAGTCTCAAACTTGCCGTTTCCTTTAGAGGTGAAGCAGGAATCAAATTTAATTTAATTGACTTTTGTTTCCTCTATTTCCTGAATTTGTTGTTAGTCAGGGCAACTTTTAAAATTAAGCTGTTTAAGTTATTACAGTTGTGACAAAACTGACATAAATAAAAAATGTATCACAGGATAGATGGAAAATATGTAAGTGCTAAACTAATATAGCTTAGAATTCATCCAATTGATCGTTAATCAATTCCATTTTTTGTGTTTTGCTTTGCTCCTGATTTCCTCAATAAAAACACATGCATACAAAGAAAGCAGAATATGTTCCGGCCCCAAAAAAACCCGCTTGATTTTAAACAGCGATGCTGCGAAACCGTCCCAAAACTTGAGGAGAGACTGCAGGTCTGCCGGCACCAGTGTTCAATGTCCCTCAGAGGAAAATAAAGAATCAAAAATGTCATTGTTACCTTCACAACAATGACAGATACATCCGTTTTGCCTGACATCTACAAGAGTAACTAATATGGATACATAGAAATGGCACCAGGATGAGAGAGAGAAAGAGAGGTTCCTCGTCTAACTGCGGTTTATAGCCATGCGCTTTTGGTTAGTGTCAGCAGGAGTACAGAAACATTAACATCAGCCCTGTGTGAGGAACATAAAACTGAACCTAACTAGCAGTTGTTTTTTTAAGCACATTTTGTATTTCGGGGAAAATAAAGCAGCTCGTGTCAAAATCCGAAGAAACACGTGAGATACAGGTTGTGTCAGAAACCACTCCTCCCTACGCAGCATGTAGGGAGATCCACGTGGACAGTCTGGGACACTTCTCGATTCAGTTTCTCTGCGCTGCAAGTGCTTCACTGTTGTATAACAATTCAAACTTGCCGTCAGAACATACTGAGCCCATTTTCCTGCATAAATAAAAAGAAAATATTTAGCATCTGCTACAACTTTCAGGTATTTTCAATCAAATGCTTTTCTGACATGTCACATTTCTTCTTTTTTTTTTTCTTTCCTCTCGTCTGTCTGTCGTTTTGCTTTAATCCATAAAAAAGCTCAATGCATGATGGTATATATTGCTTGGTTAATGACCATCGGCTGTGCACTATTTTTCACGATGCATTGTGGGATACAAGAAGTCCACTACATAGGGTAATACAATTATCACGAAACATTCGGACTATAGAGTGATTTCCGACACAGCTGTTTCTCAGGAGCTTCAGGACCCCGCACGCCCACCACCCGTCTGTCTAGTTCAAAAGGAAACATCAACACGCGGGAAATTAAATCTGAAGAAAGGTGTTAACACTGAAAACAGTAGAAAGACTGGTTAGAACCAGAGTCGGAGAAAGACCTTATTTGGCTTGCTTGTGAAGATGGCGAAAACACGGAGCGACAACTAAAGCTGCGTGGGGTAGTTTGCAAAGGGCAAAAAGTGGAAACGCGTGTTAAACTAACTAGTTCTCAGGGTGAAGTCCAGACCAGATGTTTGGGGTCAACAAGGACTGGTCTTATAACGGCACGGCTAAAGCTTTACGAGTCGAGACGAGGCGAGGAGGGGACAGCAGTAAGAATCGGTGAGGGAGGAAGTACTCCAGTCCGAGAGAGGTGAGGATGAGGAGGATGAGGGGGAAGAGGATGTGAGGAGGTGGGGGCGAGTAGCAAAGATTCCTGAGGTGTATCAAAAAGAGAGCAGAAACTCTTGATAGTGTTTCAAAAAACAGATGTGTGCAATCAAATCAAAAAGCAAGCTGGCTCAGCTAAATACAGGTACAATTCCAAAGTAGGGCCCGGAAACTTCCTCAAAACTGCACTTAAAATCTAATACCTTTCCAAAATGTAAGATTTCTTTTGTTATTAATCAGCGTTTTTTTCTAAAGAGAATCAGACCACACACAAGTGATTTCACAAAATGAAAAGAACAATAAGATTAGGCTCCAAGAGTCTTGAAGTGTTAAACAAGTTCTGATTTGGTACGGACACCAAACGTGAAAGGTATCATCGGTTGGTACCCAGCGCTAATCCAGAGAGATATAAATACATATACTGTATATTAGGATCTCATGGCCAAAATACGGCTTGTCAGCGAAAGATATCATTACTCCATTGACAGTTGACACAGCAAACCAAAAAAACGGAAGAAAAGAAAAAATCACTTTAAACGACAACTTGAGGGGGGGTGTGTTTTTTTTTCTTTCCCATCGTCAGAATAAAAATCTGAAAAAGAATTAAAATAACAGAAGGAAAACGTTATCATTCAGTCCCGAATCAACGTGGAGCAAAACTAAAACATGAGACTGAGAAAGGGGAGGAAAAAGGGAGCGACACTTTTTTTTTTTTTTTTTAACGGTGTGTATCAACCGCCATGTAATACGAGGCTTCGCTCGCTCGCGTCATGGCCGACAGCAGATTGTTTGTCACGAGGAGCCGAGGTTGTTGAGAAGTGTGAGCTTAGACCGTGAACAGAGGGAGAGGGACTAATTTAAACTGTGTCCATCTGAACTGAGGTATACCTGGTTGAAGGAGGTTTATGGTTTTTTTTTTTAAACCGTTGTAATGCTTGAAAATGGACCCCACCCTCCCCCATCCCTCCCCTCACCCCTTTAAAATAAGCTCGATTACCAAGTTGTCTGGGTCCATAATACACTATGTACAGCAGCATTACACTATAAACATTCAGAAGCTGTTGCTTATTGGCAGAACGATAATCGTCTCTTCAAAAAAAAAAACTCACACAAGAAAACAGCTAATGTATCGAGAGCCGGGTCTTTTTTTCTTTTTCTTTTTTTCTTTTTTACACTAAAATGCACTGAGAGTTCTGTGAAATTCCTCCGCAAGATCTTCTCTCTCTCTCTCCGTAGAAAACCGAACTGAACACGTTGCCCTCCTATGTATGCGCATGTATATAAAAACAAGACATGATAAAAGTGTTGAGCGTCGTCATCCCAGCATGTCAGCTCTGTCACTCGGTGACTTCGTCCGTCATCGTAAATAACCTGAATCGTTTGCTCGGCATGAAGAGAGCTTTGACTGTTAAAATGTTAAAATCCTTAGGCACACATATCAAAATGAGGTGGATATAAACTGATGTGGTGAGGTGGGCGCAGGGTGTTTCCTGAACGCGAGTAGCGGCCCGCACTTAAAGGAAAAAAAAAGTAAAGGAAGAAAGTGAGGAAAAAAAAACCACTACGCCAACCAACCAGGGTCGGCTGTTCATCCCCTCTTGTTGATCCGTGTTTCTGCAAGCTCGTTCGGGTGTCGTCTGATTGGCAGATCATAAGCTGGACTCCTTGGGCGGGAGGTCCACATTGGTCACCATAGTGACAACGGTGACGATCTCCTCTGGGCCGATGATGGGGGCTTGGCGCTGCATTTGGCCGATGCGCTCCTCGACGCAGCCGGCGGACAGGCGAGCCTCCGCCTCGTGGTCCCAGCAGTCCTCGATGGTTTCGCAGAGCATGGCCAGACCCTGAGGGAGAGAAGCCAATCAGAGCGTCTCCAATGAACAAAATCTATGATGTTTGATTATTTTCCTCAGTAATGTAGAGAACCACCTCATATGATCATATAAATCATCATTAACAATTTATGCTACATTTTAAACATTCAAAAAGTCTGTTTAAGACTTGTTCTGGGATCTTCGGCGTCCTCATTGAGTATATCTTGACATGGATCAACCCAATATTCGGTTACAGACACACAAACACTGACGACAGTTCTCACCGCGTGTTTCTGCCAGCAGTCTCGCAGGCAGGGCCGCAGTTTCTTATGCACGACAACTTCCTGCATGTCCTCCAGAGACGGATGCTGACCCACCTCCTCCTCAAACGGGAGCATGTACTCATCCACGGGGCCTGTTCACAGAATCACATGACCAAAGTGAGTCTGGAGTAACGCAACACAGTGAGGACAGTATTTTCTTGTTGGTGCATCAGTCTCACCGTCAGCGGCTGTGCACCGCGACGCCAGCTCCCAGAGCACGAGGCCAAATGCGTACATGTCGATACGCAGGAAGGAGTCGCGCTGGAAGTTGATGGCACCCTCCAGGACTTCGGGGGCCATGTAGCGCCGCGTTCCCACCTACAGGTTCAAAGGGAACAAATTCAAGGGGTCAAAGGTCAGCATCAGGACAGGGAAACTAATCGAAAGCATAAGCAACAAGGACAGAAGTCATGACACAGCTCTCAAACTAAATCAGATTAACAAATCTGTTCAAATTTTCAAGCCAGACATTTGACTCAAAAGCACAGAAACTCAGGTTTAAGCAAAAAACAACAGTTGAGCTGAAAATATAAGGGAACCTTTGTTTCTCCAGTGCTGGATATTTGCCCCACAGTGCCACCTACAGGTGCACTCAGGGGCTCCAGTGAAAAGGCAGGAAACGTGGATGAGTAGTTAATAACCGAACCTTCCACTGAAAATTGTACCTGTCCATGTGTGTCTCCCGCTGACTTTCCAGCCTCAAACTTCAGAGCAAGGCCAAAGTCAGCTATGCAGGCTGTCAGATTATTCTTCAACAGCACATTCTTCGTCTTAATGTCCCTACGGACCAAAAAGAAAAAAGGTAAATGCCTTCAGTGTTCACTCAGCGTTGAGCTCCTCTGATCATAATGTCTTGATACGAGAAGATTGATTCTCTGATATTCCGCCGGCCTACCTGTGAGCAATGGAGGGCTTGTGTCCGTCCTTGTGCCCGGGGATATCCTCGTGGAGGTAGGCCAGGCCGCGGGCCGCCGACTGGGCCATGAGGCAGAGCTCGTTCCAGGACACCACGTTGGCCTTCAGGTAGTCTGTCAGCGACCCCTGACGAGGGAGCAAAGATTCAAATTAAGTTATATAGATTTCACTATAGATCTCTATATTTATTTATTTATCTATAAAATAATTTTAAGGTGGCACAAGTTGACACATCCAGAAATGTGAATAATGTCAACAGATGACAGTAACACTAACTATATATATACATACATATATATATACATAYATATATATATATATATATATGTATGTATATATATATATATATGTATGTATATATATATATATATGTATGTATATATAGTTAGTGTTAGAGTGGAACTTTTTTAGTTCACAGTGATAAATAAAATGTATCACCTGCTGGGTGTCCTCTTAAAACCACAGAGAAGCCCTTTTGTCGCCTCTGTCAACAAACCAACTTCAAGCGAAATGTACTGTTCATGCTGAATATCAGAGCTCCGATAAACGCTTTTTCATTCAGCTGCTCGTTATTGTGCTTTTTCATAACTGTTCTTTACTCTGGTTTTATTGAGGGGAGGTTTACTGAGCACAGAAGCTCTTTATCAGACGTGCTTACATTTCTAGATAGGTTTTGTGCTGTTCTATTTCACAGACGGGCCTCTTTGAATGTTTGGTTGCTGCATTATCTGATTCATATCAAATATTGCAGTTGAGGAATGTAGAAAAATAACTGTGCATTTGCACTTCAAGCAATATCAGTTTACTTATCCTCTATACACCATCTTTGTTCTTACATAACGCACGTCAATATGATACAAGGTCACTGCTGGCAAGCGGCCTCACAGATGTAGTCCATGTGTTTGACCACTAGAGGGAAGGCAGCTCCAGGAGATGCAGGAGAAAGATTCAATCAGATCAGTGTCTGTTTTTAGAAAAGATATTCCTTTGTGTGTGTGTGTGTGTGTGTGTGTGTGTACACAGTGTTTTCACTTTATCTCTTTTCAATTGTGAAAACACAAGAGTCAAACCACACCACACCCCTTTAAAAGACGTCCACTGACATCTATTAATATCTACATATTATCCAAAATATTTCAACTGAAGGGAGTTTTGTATGAGGTGTCTCCTTTAAGGCGAGCCACTGCATGCTCCAGATACTATAAATCCTAAAACACCGGGCTGCTTAGATGCATTCAACACCGGAGCATAAATCACTTGTCAAGGAAAACGCAATCGCTCTTCCAGCTGCGTTACACAAGCTCAGATCCAGAGCCGATCAGAAGGTGTCTCGCACCGTGACACCTGCTCAGGAAGGAAAGGTCAAACTCTAAGTCATGAATCCTCTGAGGACTTACAATATAATTACAGTACATGCCTGACAAGGCACTTAAACATGTTTCTGATATATTCCCAGTCATGTGGCCTTTCCTAGATCTCCTTTAAAACAAATTCCTTCAATGTCATTTCCACTTGGAGAGCTTCTACAAATCAGAGTAGCACTTTTAGACATGCTCTAGGGTTAAGTGGATTAGTGTAAGGGTTGTACTGCCGGGATAAAGCCTCTCCGCCACACCCACAACCTTTAATTTTCCAGCCTTTATTCACGCAGGGGGGGTTTTTGAGGCACGCAGAGAGAAAATCAGGGCCTGGCTGGAAAATAGGACAAAAAATTGAAGCAAGTGAAGTGTACAAGAGTCTTTCTCCACTTAGTTGGTAATGACCCTCAAAACACAGAGGGACATAAAGCCCAGAACACGCCAAAGACTGTGTGTGAGGCTAACAAAGCTCCTTCTGTGTATCAGCCAGGCTTAATAACACAGCATGAACCAGCTCTTAAGGCACCAAACATAATCAATACAATTTGAAGGTTTCATGCATGTTTTCTACCACATTGTTAGCTGCGTGCCCGGGAGGCATTTTAGTCCTGTGTGCAACATGCATGACATGACACACTAAGATGGCTGTATCACTGTGTTTACATGGAAACAACCGTGTAAACACAGTGATGTGGCGATATGGACACAAAGAGTTCACAGTTCATGGAGAAAAACAGGCCGAAAATCTGAGAATTGGTTTACATGCATTGTAGAGAATGGTAGATTTTCTACCTAAAACCAATTTATTAGTTTGCTGATAATATAAATGTAATTTTCGTTTACTTTTTTTTTTTACAACTTTTTTCCAAATTCATGTTCTATATAATTGGTTGGATTTGTTTTCTTTGTATTTATAGTGATATATAAATAAAATATAATACAATCTATGATTAGACTGCAAAATATCAAGCCTAGCAGTACTAAAGGAAATCATGTGGGGGCGGTGTAACCAATACTTCAAGCGAGATGACCATAGGACACGAGGTGGAACTTTTTGAGTTGGCAGGAAACTACAGCGAGCAGGGACAAACAGACACTTTTGCATCTTTCTGAAGGCGCATAAAGACAACCTCCACTGTCACCATGTTTGTTTTTGTCAGAAACCCTCCAGTCTGTGCGGCCCTCAAGTGGATATGTTGCTTAACATTGGTCACATAGTTTGAAACTGAAATATTAGCCTCATTTTTAAAGCAGCTACTAATGTAAAAACATCTATTTAAAAGAGGAATGCATGGATTTGATATTAAACTGCGTCAGAGAATTCAATAGCAGTCTGCTGATGGTGTTTATCTCTCTCCCGGATCGTGCACCTTGTCGTGGTAGGTGGTGATGAGCCACAGCTCCAGGTCGAGGTTATTGTTCCTCTTCTCCACGCCGATAAAGTGGAGGATGTTCTCGTGCTTCATGCCGTTCACGCTGTACATCTCGTACTCGTTCTGCCAAGACAGCTTGTCCTACACGAGAGCGGAGAGAGGGATAACAATGTTATTTATGTTGAGCCTTGAGGAGGATAAAAAATCAGATTGATTTTAATCTATTAACTCGGACCACCTTCAAATTGCCACCCTTCAGAGGATGTTAACAAAGCTACAGCAACTATACCTGGATCGGGAAGATCTTAACAGCCACATAATCGCTCAGCAGCTGGGCCTTCCACACGCACCCGAAGCGCCCCCTGGCTTTCATCTCGATCAGCTGCAGGGGTTTCTGTCCCATAATGGGAGACGGAGGTGAGGGACCGGGATCCTGCAGAGCGAGGGTGAACAAAACAAAAAGACGGAGGACATTGTTATTCTTTATTTTTTTCAGAACATTAAAATAGCATTGGGTTACACTGAAGGTGACCGGGCTTTTGGCTCAGCGACAGTGTGCCTGAGGAGCTCCGGCAAACAGAATCAATATCATCTTAAATCACATCTTACAACTTTCATTTATAGACTGGCTTTTATGTGATGATGCTCTGCTGTTATTCCTGTTTCAGCCTCTTTAGTGGCTGTGGCGCCTTCTTGTTTTCTTTTGACTTGCTTTATTTGTTTTATGGTTCTGCTGTTTGTTTTACGTGATTGTTGAAGCACTTTGCTAAGACTGGTTCAGGAAGTGCTGCAATTTGGCATTATTATTAATTCTGGTACGTTTTTTTGGCAGTAGGGACAAAGCATACCAAGCAGGGTTTGGATTCATTCATTTATATTCAATTAGAACCCCTCAGGGCTACATTCGCTAACATATTTGCTTAGTTTACTGAAGAGGGATTGGAACTGGATGGTTTCCAGTTTGAATTCAAGGATATGCAAAGTAAAAGTACTTTGTGAGCAAAGCACATGGAGTGCAGGCTTTAACATGAAAAGATATGAAGTAGAGCTTAAGTACTGATTAAAATGAACAAATGGTTGAATAAGAAAATCATTTAGGAGTCATCGTGACAAACCCCGGTGGATCAAACCCCATGCGTGTGCAGTGCATTCATGCTAATCCCATATAAACAAAAGTGAACGCAAGGAAGCCAAGTGTTTCCAGTCTAAAGTATGTTAAACACAGCTGGTGATCAGGATTAAGCTGATCACTTTCACGTGTGACTTCACAGAGAGGGACAGAGGGCGAGTGAGGATAGAGAGACACAGAGAGAGAGAGGGGGGGGGTTAAAAAGAAGCATGCAGTGAGGGAGTCACATTTCCAAAGGATAAAAGGTAGAGGAGAAAGACTAGCACATGACTGATGGCCTTTGATGAAACCAGATACGCTGCTGTAAAATCTCGACTTTACTTCCGCGCCTCTGCATCGCTGCTGTCAGGAAAAAGAAAACGCTCCCTCCCGACAATGACAGCAGCGTTCATGTTTTTACTTGAACTGAAGGCTTACAAGGTTCATGATAAGCTGCAGCAAGTTTCAGGACCCTGAGGCCCACAGGATCCACTCACACACCGTGATAATACATCAAAAGTGCACGCTTGTCAATCCCAGTCTTTTTTCCTCCTTCCTGTAAAATGCCTCCCTTTGAGTTACAAGGTTTGCTCCTGATATGAGGCACGGAGAAAGATTTAATTGATGGGAAACGCACGCGGCAATGAGAAAGTTACCGCACACAGAGTTTACCTCTGCTGCTTAATTTACCGTTTTGGCACGCAGCACGGCGATATCCAATTCTTCACACAGTGAAAAATGAGCTAAAGCGGTGCCACCAGGAAAAAGCCAAAAAGCATTCAACTGCAAGACGAGTAAAACAGTTGAGAAGTGGCTTTGGCTTCGGCTGCCTGTCCCAACAAGATTACTGTTGCTACAGAAGCATACTGTATATCATTTAGGAGTATTTATGAGATTGAGTTTTTATCTGATCAGATATTTATGTCTGGTCATGAACTTTGGCCTTCACCGCACAGAGACAGAAAACTGATGTAAATAGATCTCACAATTAAAATCATATATTCTAAATTGCTGTTATTTATTACCAGGGTGTAACTAATGAGCAAAGTTTAATCAACTCTAATGTATTATTGAGGCTCCAGTATTACAAATGACTGTAATAACACTTGCAGATTCCTGTTTATTCAATGGGAAGATTTGCATGAATAAAGGGAAAGTGTTTTTTTGGAGGGGTGTAAATCCAGAGGAGAGTTTCCAGAGGATGGGGGGGGGGGGACCGTTGTGTTTACTTAATGCCTTTTCCCTCTGACAGAGAGCTGCGAGGCAGACCTGCTGTCTCTGCACTCTCACACCGAATGCCAGCCAAATGATGGGGAAAATTACACATGATGGAGGCTGAGGTTGGATTATAGAGCAGCCCAAATGGTCCAACCTTTGTTAGGACCCTGAAAAACATCTCCAGCAACAAAATAATGGATTTGTATCTGAGCTTCAAAAATATGTTTAAATATATTTTTGTCCCCCTCATTTAACCCTTCAAACTAAAAAAAAGGACTAGACATGTCTATCTCATATCTGATTTGCTCATGATCAGGAAGAGTGCACGCTATTCAAGTTACACTGACTTCCTCACATCTGAATCTTACCGTCCAGTTTGGTGAGTGACCCTTATTGATCTGTCCACTAAAGTTGAAGGATTTGGTGCTCGGCGTGGCTGTAATTTCAGACCCTGCATGTGGTGCTTTGGGCAGCAGCGTTTGAGCTGCAGGAATAACTGACACTGAATGGACGGATATCTGGTTTCTTTCACTTAATATCGTGGACAAACCTGCAGCGGTGGGCAGGCTAAAAGTGAATAGGTATGAATATGTCACAACATATGGAAGGACGGAACTGGAGTTGGATACAGTAGAGTGCTGCATCATGCATTTAAAGCAATACAAAACAGGCCTGTGTGGAATTCAAGGGATTTGTTTGTATTCAACAATGTCGCCAATCCCTTTTGCAAGATACATTTACTTTTCTCTTGGTCTAATCCAAGCAAGGTGGGTTGTAAATTTGTTCTTCACTTTGCTTTAAGTGTGACAGTAAGCTTCAAATTCTTAATTACCAACAGTGACAAAGACAAAGTGCACGGCGATGACTCAACTGTGACCTGAAAACAGAGAGTACAAAGAGAACTCTTGAGTCCCAAGTGCAACTGAATATGACAAGGAAGGGCAAGGGGAGGAATAATCAGAATGGTGCGCCTGCAATCTGGAAATCTGGACACTTGTCAATGACAATAAGGTGATACTTGTTATTCAAGGTCTCTGTCATTACTGTCCTAGAATGCGACTAAAAACAATGCTGTGTAAAGAACTCATTATTTCATGGTTTATTGTGAATATTAAGGTATTGTTCAATGCCAGCAGCGTTAAGTATTAATTTATTATTTGTCCTCATTAGTTTGTTAATTAAAAGGATTTCTAAGCTGACCTTTAAAGAGAATTGAGGAGAGACAACCGACTCACATTCACAGCTACAGGCAAATTGGATCACTAGTTAGTCTACACTGCATTAGTTTGTAGTACTTTGTAGTACCCAGAGAGAGAGCTCAATGATCAGGAGGTACGAACCCAGACCCTGTGCTAATCGCTGCACCCCTGCTCAGTCTATTATTAGCAGGATGATAATGGTTGGATTCGTGATCGAGATCAGAAGTTTATCATTTGAGGATCATTCTACCATACATGTTGTTCTTACAAAGTAAAATCGCAGTCCACACAGCTTCATAAAATCTACTTGGACAAATATCTGTATGTATTGTCCTTAATGGTTTAATGTCATTCTATTCTGGTCAGGATGCGCGTAAGGAATCTCTAATGGCCGAACTGTGTTATCTTTTCCTCTTCGACCCCTCTCAATGCGTGGTGTTAGAATGAAAGTCATTAGTGTGTCTGCACAAATGTCACCAGGACGAATTCCTGTGGATCCATTGAGCTTTGTAAAATATATGATACCTCCTCTGATCATGATGTGCATGACAAAATGATCATTGAGACTCTGGCGTGCTCAAAATACCAGTGTTGTTCAAGGGTACAATGCAAGTCTGAGATCAAGGTGAATTTCTGCACAGATACTGCGCCTGGCAACAGACATGGCGGAGTTTGACCATGAGTTTGAGGTGAATGATGTGAATGGTGATTGATGGGTTTGTGGGAGACGGCCTGATTCTCAATAAAGGAACTGCTGTTACAAATCACGTCGTCTTTTTACGTCTGCTGCCATCCACAGAGGTAACTCTAATGATGGCGTGGTCCAAACACAAATTATTGCGGGACTCTTTTCTTTTTTTCTTTGTGCCTGGATTGTTTCTGGAAACTCTTTGTCCATTTTCCGGGCTTTGGCCCGGTCAGGCCAGGCCTCCCTTGGGAGTCACCGGATCCCTTGTCCGATCACAGGGCGCCGTGGCCTCAAACTGGGGCGCATTACACTTAGTCAGCAGACCACAGGAAGCAGGAAAACAGAATCTGCTGCTTCATGCCGTTCCTCCCAACCCTCAACTATCTCCCGTGGCCTAATCGGGTTACGCCTTCATCAATTACATCTGAACAGGTCCTTTCACACTGGTTTGGTTTGTGTGGGGTTTATGCTGTAGATTAAGTGTGCAGAGATGTAACAAAATCCGAGAGCCAAGTTTGAGCTTTGGACAAAAAGGACAATGGGCAATTATTCTGGACTTAAGCCTCCAAAAGTCATATCTTAAGATCTTGTGACCATAAAACTTGAGGCCATATCAGACTCAAAAAATTGACATTACAAAGAGATAACCTGAATTCACAAAAGAACAGAGCCTAAACCCTCTCATAAAGTCTGGGGTTTATTTTTCGAGCTACATTCTCTTTCACATAAGAACTTTCAGTGATGTCTGTTTCAATTTTGAGCCAAAGTACATTTGCAAAGGCTTATGCTCGTCTTGTACTTAAGTAATTTACACTCTCTGACTTGAAAAATGTTTCAGGTAAGTGGCAGCGCTCCTGCTTATGCAAAATGTATCCGCACTCCTCCTCAGTCTGCATGTGAAATGGAAAAGCATGCTGCAGTTTCGGCTTCAAACACCTCGTGCTTTGTCTCTGTGCATGAGAAACGTGGTGAGCCATAGGTCTAGCAGATACCATTCTGAAAACTGGGTCGCAGCACACACAATAAGTTACATAAACATCACAGATGGACATTCATACATACACGAAAAAAAAGAAGAGGGGGGCTGCATTCGGAGCCATGTTGGCCACTTTCCACCATGCACAATACATTTTCAGCAGGGAACAAAAAAGACATCCATCCATGCAATAAACCCAGGCAGAAAAAAAAATGTGTTAGGGAACTGAGTAAACAAGACGCTGTCGAAAAAAGCAAAGAACAAAATGGTGGTCTGAGATTAAGGGTGGAGAATTCTTAACAAGCTCTGAACCCAAAAAAGAAGGGGAGGGGGGGGGGCTAATAGTGTTTCAACTTCAGTTAAACTGCTCTTACCTCCACCATAATGTGAAAGGCGTGCTTGTCGAAAAGGAACATAAGAAGCAAACAGAGAAATTATTGCTACTTTCTGTCGGTTAGTGGATGAGGTAGAGGCAGGTAAAAGGTCCGAGATGATGGGTTGTCCCAGAACAACCTTTTGTCTCCCCCTCGTGCTCCACACCAGCGCTTCCAGAGCTGGGACACACGGGCCACAGGTCTGTCAATGTTAATAAGCATGGCACCAAAAGGCAAGATGGTTTGTAATGAAATGGAAATGATGCTGTTGAGCAAAGCAACTGAAGATGACTGAACGATGTGTGAAAAAGGAACAAAAAAACAGTTCTGAGAGCTCAGGAAAAACCAAACACACATAAATGCAAGGTTCACAACAGCAGCACCCTGACGACAGATGCATGAAACTGTTTCGATGTAACCACGTGTATAAAAATCATGTAAGACACGGAAATCTTAAGAAAGTGAATGAAAGCCCCTCAGCTGAGGAGATGAATGCAGACTGTTTAAACCTAGAAACGGACATTTTTTGTTTTGTTGTTGCAAGTGCTGACACATGTTTCATACCCAAAGATGCTAAAGGCTAAACCTAACAAAAAGAACAAATTGACAAATTTCTTTCAACATCAGAAAAAATAATTGATAACCTGGGAACAAAACAAATAAGATGGGGAAAAAAACATTCCCTGTACATTTTTTCCTGTAATATATGGATTTAATTGGCATTTCATATGGCAGCACATGTTTAAAGAAACAGACTGACTTTTGAAGCTGCATCCAGTCAAACAAGATGTAAGTAGCTTGATAATAAAACAAGTGATGAGACTTTGGTCAGAATCGATGATGAAAATAGGATCCACGTCCCAAAAAACCAAGTCCTGACTGGTGTTTAAGTGCTCCAGGTCTGTCCGTGTGAAAGCTGTGGGTCTGTGTACTCAGACAGAATCAATTCCAGTTTGCCTCCACTTCTCACTGTAGTGTGAATAATGGAGGCTTGGTGGCAAATATGAAGCCGATGATGGATGGTGGACATAATGGCACAATGACGGCGTGCAATAAAGTTACTTTGCCGCAAAAATAATTTCCTGCGTAAAACACTGGATTTTCACCTGTGTGCAACAACACCAAACACGCTTCATTTGGTGTAATAACTCAAGAGTTCAAACCAGTTGCACCAAATCCAGTCTGCTGGAACAATAGGACGATTTCCTTTCTTCAGTGCTTTTCCATCATAAAATTAGAGAGCTGTGGTAATGCGCCGTTATCGATCATTAAGCGAGAACAATAAAATCTTGAAGCCAGCCTGTTTCATTACCTTCAGAGAAAGAAGAGACTAAATTCGCGATTTGGAACGGCTGGAAAGTCAGAAATATTGCACTGAAAGTTTTCTGTGTATGGGATTCCCTTTGTGCTATTTTATAATTACAGTACACACTATCTCTTTCCTGTTTGAACTCTGGCTTATCTTATCTTACCCTATTGCTTATTTCCACTTTGCCCAACAGCAACTAGCCTTTTGATATTGGACATGAAAAAAATGCCAGTATTTTGACGATAAACTATATATGTATATGTTACATATTTGTCTCTGGCTCTGTTCGGACTGCTGCTACTTGCTTATGTCATAATCACATTCACACTCCTTTTAATTAGAGATATAGATTAAATGTGCACTGTGTGATGCAGAGCTCTGCCGGTTTTAAAGACTCAGCCTTGTAGCTGCCTCGTGGATGTTGTTAGGGAAGAGGAATAAAATCTATTACCACCGACATCTATCATGAACCATGATAATGACTTCCCGTACATGCAGGGCTAGCAACAGGTGTGGGCAATTTGTTACTGTCATATTAAAAATACATGAATATGCACAGAGCATTATGCACAGATGAAGGCAGGACAGAAGAGGAAAAAGCATGATGAAGCAAAAAAGAAAGTCTGCTCCACTGGCTCTTTTTTGTTTTTGCACTACATCTGTAAAATATCTTTTCTTTTTACTTTTAAAGAACAGGGTGTCTGCAGGTTACAAAGCTTAAGACTTCACACCTTTCTCTAAAGAAGCTAACTTGTGATGTTAATGTTATATTCCAATCAATTTTTAAAACCTGTAACACCAAATATTTAACGGAACATAATAATGACGATGAATAATTCAGATAAAGTATTTTTACAACGCTAATGCAACAAATTGCAAGAAGCTGTTAACATTTGTGAAGTGCCTTTGGAAAAAAATACTTTTTTAGAGTAAACAAGAATATTTTCTTATTTCAGATTTTATAACCTCCAGAATTGCCTTCTAAGTTCTTATATAATATTATTCTATTGCTGTTCACCTGTAAAGCAGAGGGTGTTTATGTTGTGTTTTTACTCTCAACAGTGTAAGAACTGTTAGAACTCGTCCTCTGTGACTTTGCAGAAGGGAGTGTTTTGAGCGATTATCAGAGTCACCTCTGCTTCTTCTTTTTTTTTTATACAGCCTGAGGTGTAACACAAAAAACACATTTTTTAATAACCAGAAATAAAAAAAATCTACTTCTGGACTGGATTTTCCACTTGGAAAACTACATTCAATCAATTAAAACAACTTATGCCAGAACAACTGTAAATAGTACACTACATAGATTTTGCAGATGTGTTTGTTTTGGCTTCCGTTGGAGGCAGGTGGGGTTTAACTTATCACCTACTTGCAGCTAAGCTTGAGTTGACTTTTAAATATATCCCTTTTCACCTCACGTCCTACACCTACTAGTTCATGCACAAACACACTCTGCACATTTGTTCCATCTTGTCTATTCCATTCCATTTTATTCTCTTAGTGATTTTATCTTTCAGCTGTTTGTTTTTTACCCCCCGACTGTATCATCATTCATTATCTTATCCACTCTTCTCTGGTCACGATCTTGTTCTGCTTTATGTGTTTATTTATGTATTCATTTATTTATGAGTTTCCAGGTAGGATGGTTCATAAGCCTCTTAGCGCTGTTGTTTTTCCGATGCACATTAGCATCCCTGATTGTATTGTGTCTCTTTTTTATCTCTTCCCTACTATACTTTAGCACCCTGCAAATACAATAACGAAGTTGAGAGAATTGTATGTTTCTCCTCAATCACACCCCCGCACTCCCCACTCGCCCACCCACTCACCCACCACAAGCATCCTCAGAGGCAGAGCTGCGAGCATCTCTGTGTTTAGTTTTGTTTGCCTATATAAAGCCTCATCAATAATGCAGAGGCCCCTGACTCCTCTTCCATACGGTGGAAGCTCTGCATGGCTTTCTTTTTCCCTTGCTGCCGAGCACCAGAGAACATAGCCGTGCTGCAGTCGGGTTAAAACCGCCTCGTGATGAATCTGGCTGATTCAGGTGAAGACATTAAAAAAAAAAAAAAAAAAAAAAAAAACCAGCAGCAGAGAAAAAGTATGGCTGAATAGGAACAGAAGATTGGCTGAGTAGCAGCGTAATGAAAGGTGAACGAGTGCACAATAAGAGGTGGATCTGAACTCTGTTTTAAAGGTATAGTGTGTATTTTGTGATATCTAGTATTGAAGTTGCATGTTGCAGCTGAGCACCCCTCACCTCACCCTCTCCTCCCAAACATGAAAAAGAACCTGTGGCAGCTTCAGTTGTCATAAAAACTCAAAAGGTGTTTAGTTTGTCCAGTCTGGACTAATGTAAAAAACATGGTGGCCCCCGTAGAGAGGGTCCCCTCCATGTAAATATAAAGTATTTAAATATAAAGGGCCTTTTCTGGGGTAAAGAAAACTACAATTCATACAATTTAGATGAAACAAACCAGTGAAAACATCATGAGGGTTATTCTACACTAAATTTCTACCAATAGATCCCTTTCACCTGAATCTTACACACTGGACCTTTAACAAAAGTTATTTTCACCCATTTAGCATAATATGCACTTAAAATGTATGTGTGATTAAGAGCATCTCTGACACAAAATTAACTATCTCATTTCAATTAATCTCCAGAAACTCTGGCGGCTTTAAAAGCAAGTCTTGAGATGTGTTTGCTCCAAAAGAGAGTCGTTGATAGAAAAAAGACAGAACTAGAGCCCCACTTATCCTCCTATACAACTTTGAAAGAAGAAACTGAAAAAGCAATTATCCCTGCGCAAACTCTCCGCAGAGTGTGTCCGTTCTGTTTGACCATAGCTCTGTCCCTTTGCAGCGCGGGGCAGGAAAGGCCAAGGCTGTTTCAGCTCACTGAGAAACTAGATCAGTAGGGAAGTTGAAGGTTGGTTAAATAGAGACGGGCAGAGCTGAGTCTTCACTGCATCATACAGCAAACTTTAAACAAAACAAGGGTTGTCTTTTGGGACCAACACAAGGGCACTGACTCATGTAAGAAATAAATCGACCAGAGCAGAGGCAGACATTTTCTGCAATAAATTATCTTTGATTATTTTTTATACGATTGCATTCAGTACATGTTCCGCCTCAATAAATACCGTTCTGCCTTTTATACACATAAAGGTGAACTAATTTGGTTATTACATATTAGTATTTGTGTTTGTACGTAGCACAAGGGTTTCCAGGAAATAAATAATTTGCCTCTTTGTTTAAAATGAAACATAAAGACATAAAGAAGAAGAAACTTTTCACTGCATCAATTATATCTTAAAAGAAAGAAGACATCACAGTCTGCTCCCCGATGTTCGATTGACAGGTAAAATCTGGAAACATGTTACAGTTATGAGCGTTGTGGACCAAAGACAAGAAGTGATCATGGATTTATCAGGAGTTTCGTTTTTACTTTGAGAGTTTGAGAGATTGTTGTGTCTGGATTTCATTTTCTCATCGTGCAGAGACTTACATGTGTCGGGACAAGGGCAGCTGGGTAGGCCAATTTGTGATGTCTCCACATCCAGAAAGAGAAGAGGACGACAGCGGCCAGGCCTATGATGGGGACCAATGAGTAAAGAAGAGTGCTGAAGAGCTGGGGCTTCTGGGAAAATGGGTTGGAGGTGGCTGTGGGGAGAGAGCAGCGGAGAGAAGAGATATAAGCTAACAAGAAGTGGCTTGTGTTGATCGACATGGCAACAAAAGCAAAGCAATGAAAAATCCAAAACTGTGGACACTGACACAGAGTAAACACAACCTAGAAAAAAAAGAAGACAACATGCCCGATTGGCTTGACATTGTGCTACATCATCTCAGAGTGCAGCACTAACTCTGCTCACAGCTTACTGCCACTGTGCTTAGGGATCATATCAATGCGCGCACACACACACGCAGCAGGATTAGCAAATCCATCTCGTGACATAACGTAATCCGCCCTCCAAAAATAACAGAGCTCTGAACTGCATCCGACCCCTGCAAGAGTCGCTGGGTGACGTCTGCTGGCTCAGCCCGCCCTCCCATCACAAGGTGTGACAGTCTGATTCGACAGTGCTGTCAGAGTGCCGACGACTCGGACGGCGAACACCACTGCCGTCCTCAGGGTGAGGGTGGGAGAGAGAGGAAAGGAAGCGGTGAGGGCCGCCGGGGCTGCACCAACTGCATCATCACACTCTCAGGGTCTCTGTCAGACGTTTTTTTCTCTACAGGGTGTCTCCAGGTTTCAGAAAGTCACTTTTGAAGGAATAAAAAGAGACAGACTTGCCTGTTGGACAATTAAGTTGGAAAGTTGGGTGTGCAAAGATAACAAAATCCCTGCTGGTGGGTCAATTGACAACTGCTGACCAGCAGTTGATATTTGTTTGGTGACAAACAACATGTCACATGTTGGGTGACATGTTCTGGCGTCAACAAACACTGCAAGAGTTCTGCTATTGTAAAAGTAAAATGTTCAGGATTTTGTTACCCTTGCTCTGCTAAAATATCTTTAAGACCTGGTCTCCAGCATAAATATCTCCCATCACACATTTTGCACAGGAATGTGTCTTCAAAGTAAAACCTACATCTGCTGCCTGTGGTCTAAAAACACAAATTAAGAAATCTGACATTACCTTGGATGTTCCAATACTAACGTTTCCGATACCAAGTATTGAAGTCTTATGTGAGATACAGATCCATATTTTACTTATGAGACTTTCCAGCGTGAAATTGCAGAAACCGCTTCTCCTTCACCTCGGCACATAAATTTGTGGATTCCACAGCACATGGCCGGGCATTTCGTCATATTCAATGTATCTGTATCACAGCATCTCTACTTTTTAGTTTAGGCCGGATTAAATGAATCAACTCAAGGTTTGCCTGCAATACAGACCAGCTGTAAACACTGAATGTTTGTAATTATCAGGGGAATATTGCTGTGTGTGTGTGTTGGACTACACGTACTGTAGGCGGTCGAATGGTGTGGGTCGCTCTGTGGGGTAGCTTCAGGGGTATACAGGAACTTCTCGTTGCACATGTTGCCTTCGCAGCAGCAGAAGAAGACGTCGGGACTCTCCTTCTTCTCCACACACTCATTACTACAGGGGACATGGAATTAGACATTAAAACACACACATACCTGTACACACACTGCAGGACACGAAAGCAATTTATCAATGCAAGTGTGAGTAAGGGAACACGCATGAACAAACCCATTATCTGCATGTGCGTGCTGATAACACACACGCACAAAGAGGCATTCTCCATGCAGTCAAGGAAGGCACGCAAACACTTTGACCATACACACAGCGACACACAAATGCACACTCCTCTACTTCCTCTCCATTCCCTCGCTGCCGCAAAAGACATGAAAGACAAACATTTATAAAATACCTCCTGCACATGCCGAAACACAAACTTGCATGCAAACACACATGTGCACTAACGCACACCCACACACATTCTCTCTCTTTCACAATCGCAGTCATCAGATAAAAGCCAAAGGAAGTGGCAGCCGCCCTCGACTTTCTCTGGACTCTCCAGGGAGGCGAGGCGGCGCCGTCTGAGCAGAGGTACCCAAACTGTGCGGGCTGCAGAATCTACAGCAACGTAATCACCCAGGAATCACAGGAAAACCGGGGCAGAACTGGCTAAAACCAGCAGCTGATGCAAGGTTCATGTTCCAGTAAGGATGACGATAGAAAAAACCCCACCACTTATTAATATCTGCCTACAGTACAGGGTTTGGACACATGGTTGCGCACATCAGACTGAATCCATTATCAGTGGAGATCCAGGGAGGCAATTTAAATTTCATCTCTGCTGTATTTAAAAATGTGGCCTTGTGCAAGTCATTCAGATGGGGGAACGCACAGAGAGACGAAAACTGTGCTCAAGGTGATTTGGAAAGTATTTACAGTTAAGCCTTCCTCTTGACGTGCTGCCATTGTCCTGAGAGATCTGCGCTGCTGCTTTCTGTCAGAAATCAATGCTCAGGTTTTTGGGGAAGGATATTTGTAATAATTAAAAATAATGCACAAAATGTTCAGGTTTGATTAATTCTGACCATTCTTTAGTTTTCTGATGGACAGAGGATTTTGAAATGTATAAATATACTAAAAATGATCAAAACTCAGTAGTATTGATATGTTTTAAAACTGATTTCTTAAAAAAAAAAAAAAGATCCCCTGGCTGGTTTGACTATTGCTTTTAACGTGCCCGTATTTTCAGCCGTTACCCACGTACCTGTCGTAGCAGTTGACGTCATCCAGCCAGCAGCCTTGCTTGACGACCTCCACATTGCCTGACACATTCTTCCACGTGGCGAAGCAGTGTCGCCGCTTATCTTTCTCGCCGTAGCAGGGTTCGATGCCGCTGCGGTTGGTGCGCTCCTTCTCCCAGCTTGAGTTGTAGAACACGCACTCCTGAGTCTCCGAGCGTCCTAGGATGGCACCTGGAGAGGACGAAGAGGTTAATGTAAACGTCATTATGAGGAAAGCATTGAAGCGTTTGTGACTTTTTCCTGAAGGTTAAAAATAAAAAACATGTGAGAGTGGCTTTTTATTTTGGAGATTTACAAGTTTCTGTGGACAAAGATGAGGAAGTTATTGTCTTGCTCTGTCACCGACAAAGAAGATAATTTAGTTTGTAGCAAAGCGACATTGCTTTACAGCCTCAAAGTTTGTAATACACAACAAAGTCGGAAAAAAACTTTTCGTAATGATAAAATCTACTTCTAATGTCAATACAGCAATGAAAGAAGCTTTTTTCAAAATGAACAATAAAAACCAGCCGGGCATGACTGACAAAAATAAGGTTTTAGAGGAACAAACAGGCGAAGCAAGGAAACCTAAATCCTCAACTTCTCTCCCCGTCAAAATAAAGGCTGCTCTGGTTTCCTGCAGATGAATGCGAGCTGCAGGTTGCTGCAGGTTTTCGCAAACCGATATCCAGAGAAGTGACGGCATGACAGCATGTCAGTTAAGCTGCCACTTCTCATCACCTGTCATGGAGTTGGTCCAGTTTAGACTGCTGACAAGACTGAAAATAGTCGGCCTTGCTTGCTGTCTTCACGTTATTTTTTTATAGGAAAAAAGTAGGACTGTGCAAGTGCAGGATGTTGATGCCGAGTCTCAGTCATCCATATGCATCGACTGGAGCTCAACACCGTGAGAAATTGAGTTTATTTTCCCGCCCTTCTGCTGAGTCTCTTACTGAACAGCCAGCTTACTCCTCTCCAGTGTGAAAATGTGACTTAACTCGTTTGTGTGAGAGACCGCAGTGCATGCGTAGGTCAAACGGTTGTGAACTTCCCGAGGCTGTTTACATAAGTGAAAAAAGTTAATGAAATCATGAGGCGTTTGTCGATGCCTGGAGCTCTGATCATACACCAGGTCTTTCTTACAGAAATGAAGTAAATGTAAATCTACGTCAACTGGAGTTCATTTCAATTCCAATATGAGGGTCTCAAGTAGTTTTTCAGTTAAGTGATCCATTTTGGGGTCTTGTATGTGATTACTGCAGTTTCGGGTCTGTCATGAATCTACTTAGAACTTGTCAGTTGAAAACATTTGATAAACACCTCCCGGGTAGAGGTATCAGAGCTGTTAGTGTTTATTCTATTTATTTAGTTTTATTCACTTAAACTTGAATTTGTCCACTCTGCTAGGATTTGCACTCGATACCCGCTTTTTTATTTACTGTTGCTTTTAATGTCTCCAAAGTGTTCCATGATTTAACTGTAAAATGAAGCAAATAAAGAATAATGCTCCAGTTTATGTGATCAGTACCCGCTCTCCTCCGCCAGGGTAATAACAGAGCTTCCTGTCCGCCCTCACTGTGTCTCCAGTGGCTGCAGCTTCCAGAAATTAGGGCTTTGCTTGCATAACGGAGGTTAACTTCAGAAAGATCATGTATTTTTCAATAAAATGGCTGCTTAAGTCAATCCAATTAGCGCCAGCTCCCCAGCCATGTCTCTCTTCAGCGACAATAACAGCTGTGGATGGAGGCGAGAGAGGCTACTTCACTGGCAGACGAGGTCATTGTGCCTCTCAGCGGCACTGACAGCATTTTCTCTCTCGTCAAATCCATTTCCCACGAAGCCCCAAAGTATTTCACAGCAACAGGTGCGACTCCGAACTGTTGCCTGCGAGAGCAAATGGCTGGAGCAAAGGCGGAGGGGAGGAAAATAGTCTGGGCCGGTGAGTGAGCAGTGCCACAGAAAAGCCACAGCACATTAAAAAAACAAGTGAACTGTGTGGGTCAAACAGTGAGTAGATATGTAAAAAGAAACCCACAAAGTTGCTTTATATCTTCTTATGGAAAGAAATTAAGATTTTGCCCGAACGTGCACATAAACTTAAGTAATGCCACAAGGAAGATTACATCATCTGACATATGGTTCATGTGGTCTTCATTTCACTACCCCCCACCCCGTAGACTATAAAATTCCTCTCCTGCAAACACATTCTAGATGTTTTTACTGTACATTTAGTTTATGGAAATAAATAACTGCAACAAATGAAGAAAGGAGCAAGTTATGCAAGTCTGACTCACTACCCAAGCTGAGGAAAAGCAACATTAACTCTTCTGTTTTGTACAGCAGAAACTTTTGCCAAGATGCCCTTGAGTGAGACACTCCAAAGTGCAAAGATTAGGTGTGAAGAAGAGCTGTTGAAAAAAGGCTGGTCCTCCTGTCAGAGCCGTGAAATGCCTTAATGAAATACGCCTAAGAGAAAACACCCTTAAGAAAAAAAAATGCAGACAATACATATATTCAACTCAAGTGCTTGGTATGAAGCTGAAGATATCCCATCATTCCTTTAGGGTGACGTTTGTCTCCAGTAATTTTCCAACCACATCTGGAGGCTGAGAAAATAAAGACGTGTTTGCTGGGGCCAGTGATAAACGGCGGACAATAAAGAAGTGGGCGGACAGATCACCTGATGGCTACAAAAGATGAGAAAACACATGCAAGACCCTATCCTCAATACCCTACTACAGTTTGCTGTACGGTGATGTATACTATGAGTTTGTCTATAAGATTTGTTTATGCACTCCATCAGAACCTCCAGCAGATTAAACATAAGTTTTAGTGCGCCTAGTTCCTATTCATCTTCCTGCATGGGCATGAATGCATCATCCTGTCCATTGGCCCTCGAGGGAGCTGAAGGTGCTAATGATGGAGGTATGTTTTTGCCTCCATCGTAGGTGAGCTCATTAGCAACATCAGCCAATGCTAATGCTGATCCCCCATAGACGTTGCGTCCAGGAGCTTTGCATACACATTTCCATTTTATTCGCAGTGATTTACAATGAATGCAGAAGCAGGATGAGCACAGACTTCCTGGATCGACTTCAGTACGAGTTACTCATAATAACAATGTCTTTATCTAGATTCTAGCGTTGTGAAACTGAAACCAACAATTTATTTGACTATTTATTGCTCCAGCTTTAGACTTAGTTTGTATCTTTGTCCCCTGGCAAAGAATTAAGTCCTTCAGTGGCTTGAAGACAAAGTACAGTATTTCTAAAAAATGACAAGAAAGAAAAGAGCAAAAAAAAAAAGTCTGTCGTCTCTTTTTCTTCGGCCGAGGTGAGCAGCAGCACCTCACAGCCCCATTGATAATGCCTTCATTCAGGTATTTTACTGTGTGAGAAAGAGCTCCGAACCATGTGAACTACAAACACAGAGCTCCATTGTAAATACAGCAGTTAAGAGCCCAAATCAATCACCTCTCTGAAATGAGGTGACAGTGCAGGCCGGCTGCCTATAGTGTCATATGCCAAAGGTGGGCAACAGCGGCCTGGCAGTATGGCGGATATGAAGGATATAAAGTGGAGAAATCAATCTTCTGACTATGTTGCAGCTCAGAGTTCACTAAAGCGGATAATGTCATCGAGTGCAGAGCCTACACAAGCAATTGTGCAAGGACATACAATGGGGCTTCCACCCACAAGCACACATCCAGGCAATAAAGAGTGAAGCCTCTTTGTCTCCGAGAACATTTGACGCATGGAAATGTCAAACACGAGAGGCACAGGCTCACAGAGTTTGCTGTAATAAGGTTTGTGGGAGAGAGATAGAAAAAAGGGGGGAAAGGCCATTGAAGGACCTCAAACACGTGGTATACACACAAGGTTGCTTTCGTAGTTAACAAATATTTAATCTATGCATTAAAAGGAAAATGTCGAAATTAAAGAATGAAAAAAGTGACACAAAAGCGGAACAGCAGCAAAAGGAAGGAGGGAGCATTGAGGGGTGGTACAGGCTCGTCTAGTTGATTGTGAGACTGTGCTAGAGGTAGAAGGTCAGATAATGCAGGGGTGAACAGACAAAACTTTATATGCCGCCCTGTCAGTTAAATCACTGCCACAGCCAAAAGAATGCATTCGTCCAACACTTTTGTTTTCGCAAAACAAAATGACCACATAGCGTTTCATAGATGCTCCTTCCCCTCTCCCAGTCATACTGGAGATTTATCAAGGTGAACCGTGACCTACTTTGGCTGCAGATATTTAAGCAATGCCTCCCCCTGTAAAACGTCTACACAGCCCGACCCACTTCTCAGTCCACCAGGGCTTTTTTTGAAAAACTGCTTCTCACCCCTCCTCACCCCCTCTCTCCGCCCGGTGGCTCTAAAAATTCACCCTGACATTTTGAATTTCTACATTTTGGGCATTTTGCCGATGCTCTTATCCACAGTGATTAAGCTCCAAGTTCCCACAGCACCCAACTACAGGAAGTAAACTGTTAACTGGTCTTGTCACGATACAAATATGTATTGCTTTGATATTAACACCAAGTTTAGCATCATATCGTGAAAAAAATAGTGCTGGAAAACTGCCCAAATTTCAATATACCATGCAACACTTTATTCCTGTGACCACAGAAATGATCAAGTGAGGCTATTAGACAGGACATTTTAAAGAATAAGTCGCCTGAAAACATTGGAATGTGAGTTCACTTGAGAGCGTGTAATCCGAAGATGGAAACGATGGCGAACTTGGCAGCAACTGGAGGAGGTTACTGATTATCTGCAGGCTCTGAAAATTCAATCTTTTGTTTCGTGGCCAATAGGTCAATGTAAGATTGAAGCAATTCGGAGAACCTGAATCTGAGAGGCCCTGACACGAAGACGCAGAGGGTGATGCCATCGCTTTCCGATAGCAAGGCACGCCGTGATAAACCTGAGGGCTGAGAAACCGCAAACTCGCTGCTGGCACGACTTCACCTTAAACTTAGAAAAAGGAAAAAGTCATATCCACGAAAATGATTCAAGCTCTCTAAACTGAAACGTTCAGTCACAATGTTGCTTTGAGAAAATCTGCAGTAATGCCATTTATGACTAAAGCACGGTAATGAAAGAAGCTACACTCTCAGCTTCAAGAAGTTGTTTAAAAAACCCTTTCATAGCTTTCCTTTATAATTGTATTAATGTATAAAATAAATTC